GTGCCAGCAGGAAGGGTCAGCCCTGGCTCTGAACTGTCCCAAATGTGCTACTGTGAGCGATTCCCACGACCAGCACCTGCCACGTGTCGCTACGGCCCCCACCCCCGGGGGGCAGGCAACGTGCCGGGGGGAAGCCCACAGTGTGGCTGCTTCCCTGGACCTCTCCCCTCGCTGCTTCTTCCTTGTCTTCCGGCTCCCAGCGGTGGCTTCCCCAGGGCCCCTGCCGGAGACTCCCACAGAAGCAGCTGCCCTGCGGTGCGCACGGGGCTGCAGCAGGCTCAGCAGCTCGGGTTCGTGTCAGTCCGGCCTGCCCAGAGCAAGGCAGAGGCAGCCGGCGCTAACCAGCTCATCTCCAGCGTCAGCACTGACAGGAGATACCGCTGCCTGCAGGGCACCTGGGACAGGGGCTTTCCTAGTGCAACAGCACCATCTGCTGCCCCCTTGCCAGAGGCCCAGCGGCATGCGGCCGGCCGGGGACGGGGTGGGAGGCAGCTTGGTAGCGTGGCCCCCGCGTGATTCACAGGCCTCCCCCAGCGTCACAGCAGGAGAACCCCAGCACACGCGCTGCAGCCTGGCTGGAGGCAGGGTCCTGTGCAAACGGGGGCGTTTACCCCGGGCTGGGGGGCTGGCCCAGGCCTAGGCACCACTGACACCCCACTTGAGCCTGTTGTGAGGGCTGCAGTGGGATGTGTGTGATGCTGGGCCCAGGGGTGAATGTCACCCAGTGATCTGACTGTAGCCCAGCCCAGCGACACGGCTGTAGCCCAGCGACACGACTGTAGGACTGGGACACGACTAGGGTGACCAGATGAAACGGACAAAATATCGGGACACATGGGGGAAGCAAAAAAATAAAATAAAATAAAATAAAATAAAATACAATAAAAGCGGCCGTGCATCGGTCGGGACGTGGGACAAAGAACTAAAAATCGGGACAGTCTCGATTTTATCGGGACGGCTGGTCACCCTAGGCACGACTGCAGCCCTGGGACACGACTGCAGCACAGCCCCTGCTGTTTGAAGGTTCGCTGTTCTCGGAGGCAGCTGTCTGTGTTTCTAACTGATACCACCCAGGCCCGCAAACCCTCCCTGCTGGCCACTAGGTGTTTGCTGCTGCGACTCCGGCCTTATCCTCATGCTGCGGCCAGCGTGGAGGGCAGGCCCTGCCCAGGGCGTCTCCCTGCAGTGACTCTTAGCGCGAAGCACTCTCTGTGCAGCCAGGGGAGCGAGCCGCGCAGACTCTGGGTTTATTGCCCTGCTTCTATAGACAGGGCAAGCTTCAAACCAGGGGCAGTGGCCCTGGGGGACAGGGGGTAACGTTCCTACAATGGCAATGTTGTGGAGCTCTATCCCCGCCACATAAACTTGTGCACACCCAGCGGGGCGGGGCAGGGCAGGGGGTTATAGCGGGACTCAGAGGGGCAGGAACAGGCCCTGGAGGAAGTAGGAACCTCCGGGATCCTCCTGCCTAGCCTGGAGCCGGCTGCCCACCCCATCAGCTGAATCTCATGCCTCCCCCCAGTCCACCTCCCCTGATTGCAGGGAGCTTCCGCCCCCCTGCTTCAAACCAGTCTATTTTATATCCTTACCTGCAGCCATACGGGAGGCAGTGCGGCCGTGGCCTGTGCGAACCCCTGGCCTGGCGCCGGGGGGATGTTCCGGGGATGCAGCCTGGCGGTGTCTGGCCCCGGAGTGCCAAGTGCTGGGGCCGGCTGGACTCACCTGCCAGACTCTCTGTGCCTGTTTCCTGATCACAGCCACGGGCAGACAGTGTCCGCAGGAACAGCCGCTGTCCCAGGGGAGCCCAGAAGAGCCCAAACCCGCAGCTGTAAATATGAGCGTCTCTGAGTGGCTTTCTGGAGGTATTATGACCAGTACCGTGCTGATCCTGGAGTCATGGATACTGCTGGCTTCACATGGCACCAGGGCATAGGGGCAGGCACCGGGGACATGGGGGCAGGCTCCAGGTGTACAGGGGCCGGCTCCAGGGGCATGAGGGTAGGCACCAAGGACATGGGGGCAAGCTGCCAGACATATAGGGGCAGGCAGTGAGGACATGGGGGCAGGCTCCAGGGCATGGGGGCAGGCTCCAGGCATGCGGGGGCAGGCTCCAGGCATATGGGGAAGGCACCGGGGACATGGGGGCAGGCTCCAGGCATATGGGGCAGGCACCAGGGACATGAGAGCAGGCTCCAGGTATATAGGGGCAGGCACCGGGGGCATGGGGGCAGGCTCCAGGCATATAGGGACAGGCAGTGAGGACATGGGGGCAGACTCCAAGGTATGGGGCAGGCTCCAGGCGTATGGGGGCAGGCACCGGGGACATGGGGGCAGCTCCAGGCACAAAGGGGCAGGCATCTGGGGCATGGGGGCAGGCTCCAGGGTATAGGGGCAGAGTCCATGCTGGTTGCAGCTCCAGGTCTGGGTACATACGAGTTTCCCTGTGCCTGCTGGAGGAGGCGGGCAGCCAGCGCCCCCTACTGCTGGTGCTGTGGTTTGGAGCCGCCAGTGCCAGGCTCTGTAAAACACACACGTCCCCTGGCGAGGGGGGAGCCCCCGTCTGAGAGCTGGAGCCGGGGCAGAACAGACCCTGGGGATCCGGAGAGGGGGAGTCACTTCGCCGTCAGCTCTGTTTTTACGATGAGATCAGCGTGCTGACCACAGCGTGTGTCACCAAGGCCTGGGCCCAAGAGCGGTACCTTGTGGCCAAGGTCCAGGCGCCTGGGGCTGTTCGAAGCTCTGCCGATGCCTGGCTGGGTGACCTGGGGCTAGGGCTGCCAACTTTCTAATCGCTCAAAACCGAACACCCTAGCCCCGCCCCTTCCATGAGGCCCCACCCCCTGCCCTGCCCCTTCCCCGAGGCCCCGCCCCCCACTCTCTACATTCCCCCTCCCTCCCTTCCTCCCTCTCCTCCACCCACACTCACTTTCAGTGATTTTGGCCAACAGGAGAGCAGAGCTGATGCTCAGGGCGAGGGCAGGGAGTGGAGCCCCTTGCCCCCCCGCCTAGGAGCTGGATCTGCTGCTGGCCGCTTGCGGGGCGCAGCTCGGTGCCAGGACAGGTGGGGACTCGCCTGCCTTAGCCCCGCAGCACCGCCCGGTCAGTGGTGCTAACTGGAGCTGCCAGGGTCCCTTTTTGACCGGGTGTTCTGGACGAAAACCGGTCACCTGGTCACCCTACCAGGGGCATCGCTGCATCGCTCAGCTCCCCGCGGCTCCTCAGGGGCAAAATCCTTCCGCCCTCTGCCTGGACTCCTGGGAGTGCAAGCTCTGTAGCTGTGTGTGTCTCCCCCATGTCTGCACCCCCCACTGCCAGGGGGCCCAGGGCTCAGTGCTATGGGGTCGCAGATCAGCAGCATTCATAGGGTCAGGCCAGCAGGAGCAGATTGATTTTCATTGTCCCCGGCGCTGGCTTCAACCAGACAGCACCCCCCGCCGTGCCGAGCCTCGCAGGCCCCCCAGGTCAGTGTGCTGGTGCCCCCCTCCCGCAGTGCTGCTCTCCTCTGGCGTGTGTGCCCCTTGCTTTGCTGCACGCTTCTCCCCATGAGGCAAGGCTGAGGGAGCTGGGATTATTTAGTCTGCGGAAGAGAAGAATGAGGGGGATTTGATAGCTGCTTTCAACTACCTGAAAGGGGGTTCCAAAGAGGATGGATCTAGACTGTTCTCAGTGGAAGCAGATGACAGGACAAGGAGTAATGGTCTCAAGTTGCAGTGGGGGGAGGTCTAGGTTGGATATTAGGAAAAACTATTTCACAAGGAGGGTGGTGAAACACTGGAATGCGTTACCTAGGGAGGTGGTAGAATCTCCTTCCTTAGAGGTTTTTAAGGTCAGGCTTGACAAAGCCCTGGCTGGGATGATTTACTTGGGGATTGGTCCTGCTTTGAGCAGGGGGTTGGACTAGATGACCTCCTGAGGTCTCTTCCAACCCTGATCTTCTATGATTCGATGACCTTCCCTGGCTCTGGCCCCTCTTCTCCCCACTTCCTAATAGCTTCCCACCATCCCCACCCTGCCCATTCCCATTCCCACCCCCAGCCCAGGCCTGGCTGTCACAGACAGACCACTTCCCCAAAGTGTGATGGTGACTAGCGGAGCAGGTGCCATCCATGCTGGGGCTATGTCCCCCCTGTCGGTGTGCGGGGGGGACGGGGACGCCAGGCTAGCCTGCCCCGGTGGGTGCTCCACATTCACAGTGGCTCCACGCTGCCCGTCCGGCTGCCGGAGGCGGAGATGGTCCCTTAGCGGATATAGATTGCCCTGGTCTCCTCCGCGGCATTGGCCTCTGGGTGCATTTCGCTGCTCTGGGGGCCGCGTGCTGGGCACCCCGGGAGCTGGAGTCAGCCCCCAGCAGGTGCTGACTGCCCTTGGCTGTCACACGCTCGTCCCTGCCAGCGTCCCGCATGCTGCCCTGGCCATAGTTCAGCCATGTCTGAGACACTGGCCTGCCCGGTCCTGCTGCTGTCTGCACCCTCTGCTCACTGTTACCGGTTCTGGGCAGGTCCCGGGCCCTGGGGGGCTAGTCAGGCCCAATCTGGCCTGTTGCTCCCTCAGCCCAATCCTGCCCTGACCTCACTGGAGTGCAGGCTGTCAGAACGTGAGAGCTCTGGGCCTGGGGCATGTCCATCTCCAGCTTGTTTTCTTGGTCCTGATGTTAACACCTAGGGGTAGGCATAGCAGGGCTGGCGGGGTGGGCTGCAGATTCAAACCGCCCAGCAGGGCCTCAGCTTCTCTGCCCTTGGCTCCCGCTGCAGCTTCAGTAAGAGAGTCATTGCTGGGCCACACGCAACGATCTCTTCAGCTCCAGTCGCCTCCCGGGGCTTTCTGGTAGCCGGGCTGTCCAGGTTCCCGGGCCCAGCACCTGCACAGCTCTTGGGCTGACGCACCGCAAACCCCGGCCTGGCTGCAGCAGCAGCTTCCTTCGCTCTGCCCCTTCCTGCTGGGAGGGAAAGGGAGCAGGGAGCACCCACCATGGCGCCACACAAAGACACGGGGCTGCAGAGGCATTTGCAGAGTTGACATGTTTAGAGCAGACGTTACAGGCTGGAGCCAGTGGTCACCGTCCATCGGGAGCCCCAAGCACACGCACAGCCAGGGCTGTTCACAGATCCACGGCATGCCTGCTGGCGCTGGTTTTCTCCGCGGGCAACACCCATGGGGCCAAGAGCCTGCTTCTCCAGAGCCGCACAAAGGCCGGTCCCAGCTGTGTGATGTTCTCTCCCCAACCCCTCTCGCCCCCCCCCCCCCCCAGGCATCAGTCTGACAGGGCTGCGGGAAGGGCCTTGGGCTGGATGCACTGGCCTTTGGGGCCGTGCTAACTGGCCAGGCTGTTAATTCTCCTTGGTGCTGGGCTGCTGGGGGATGCTCTAACTGACTGGGCGGCAGGGTGCCAGGGCTCGTCACCCACCGCATTACTATTATACAGAGCGAACGCTCCATGAAAGTGAGATGCACAGCGAGGGGCAAATCTCCCAGGGCTGAGGCTGTAGAAATACTCCAGGGCTTGGGTGCTTCTGGGGACCTGACCTGAGCTGTCCACACCCCATGCAGACCTGAGCTGGCGATCTTATGAAGCCAGCCTGCCTGCCTGCCATTCCAGAGCCCCAGCCATTTCAGATCCAGTCCTGCCCAGAGTACAGAAGATGCAGAAGGGAGAATATAGGGAACCAAATTCTTATACCCAGTTCCAGTTAAAGCTCACCTTGGGTTCAGGCCAGGTTTGGGTCGGGCATTATTCTACTGGCTCCAGGTCACCCAGCCCATCAAAGGCTTTTTCCTGTTACTTGGAAAAATTAGTGGCAGTGGGATCCACTTGATTCTTTTCCTCCGGGGACCGCAGCCCCAGACTCTTTCCCCCACGTTTGCTTCTAGGAAGCCTAGTCCAGCCTCTGGTCCTCGCAGCTCTGCAGGCATGTGTGCTAGGGATTGTCTAGCATTTAAATAAGGCAGCTTTGCATCTCATTTCCCCACAACTCCCTTTGCATCGCTGCTGCTCGTAGACCTTTGTGTGGTACAAAAGCTCTTCTGAAACAGGTTCCTGACCAGTGAATAAGAACAATTGTATCTGAACTGTTCAGGTGAGCACGCCGTCAGCAAATGCAGTCATTTCCACGGGGGCGGTCTCCATTCCCCACACGAGCAGCAGCCCATGGCAGACCCTGAAGGGGAGTGGGTATCCGGAGGAGGAGAACAATCTGGTTCTGCTAGCAGCAGGTTTCTCTTTGCTTTGGGGTTTTTTATCATCTTAATTTTTCCCCTAGAGCCCTTCCGTTTGGAATGCAATGGGCCTCACTCTGCTTCCTGGCTGACCCTACCCCGTGAGTGAGCCCGACTCAGAGAGTAAAGGGGAGAGGGTCAGGCCCTGGGTTGTTCCCCACTTGTCAAATGCACCCCTTGCTTATGAGATGCTTCTGCAATGGGAGTTTTGTTTCTGCTGTGCAAGAGAAAGGAGCCCTCCAATGCGCAGTGAGAACCAGGGCCAGAACCGGCCCACACCCACCTACGGGTGGCTCTGCACAGAGACACAAGGACCTAGGGCAGAGGATGGAAGGTCCGAGGCTTGTGGCAAAACGCAGCGATTAGGTCATGAGACCATAAAGCAAAGGCCTGTCCCGAGTGGCCCAGTGCCCTATAAAGGTGCCACTGTACAATACACGGGCAGAAACAAACCAAGGGGCCACGAGCCCCTGGTGCTGCTCCTGGCTTGGACCTTTGGCTGTGTAACAACTGCCCCAACACGGGCTGGCAGCGGTGACTGGACCTAAGGCCTCCTGCTCAAAAATCCCAGGCCACTACCGCCTGGGCAGAAGGAACAAGCTTAGCGGTGAGCGGCTTTTATCCTTCTTGAGCACCAGCCGCTAGAGGGAGACACTGCACAAGCCGCAGCTGCAGGATGAGGCCCAGCTGGGGCCTGAGCACCCTGACGCCGGTGGGAGCCAGCCAGAGCTGCGGGCGCTCGGCACCCCTGTGAGCCAGGAGTGCAGATACCTGGATGTGTAGCTAGCAGCTGGGGCCGATGAGTTTTCGGGTCCTTGCGGACATCCTGCTGGAAGGCCTGTCACTTCCTGGGGCGGGGCAGCTGTTGGGATGCATGAGTTTCCGATCCCGCTGGGAGGGATGGGGGGAGTGAACAATAACCAACCAGCCCTCGGAAAGCCAGCCTCTGCCCCCTCCTCCAGCCTCCGTCCCACTGACCTCCTGGAGTAAGGGGCTATCAGAGGGGAGCTCAGGCGGCCCGAACTCATTCATGCATCATTATCCCATCCCACGGTGCAGCTCACTCAAGGCCACCCGGCAAAGCGGGGGTGAGAGGCAAGGAGTTCCCGCCCCCAGCCCTTTTGCAGAGCCTCTTGCCCACTACAACACCCTGTCCGCTCCAGCAAGGAAAAGCACAGGGGACAGGCTGCGGCCAGGGCCAGCAAAGCCGGGCAGCTGCCCCCGCTGAGCAGTGAGAGGAGCATGCGGCTCTGCAGGCTGCCCGTGGTGCTCGTGTTACTGGTTCCTCTGCAAGGTGCTGGCCAGGCCGTTAGTCCATGTGCTCTGGAAACCATCCCCTCCAGGGAGCTCCCGTCCAGCAACCGCCACCGCCCGGTCAGACACCAGCCTGGCCTCGAACTACAGCAGACCTAAGGCAGGAACGCAGCCCCCGTCCAGCCCCACCATCGCATGCAGGTAGCTTAGCTCCGACCCCTTCCTGAGCCTCACTAACGCCTCTCCCCAGGGGCAGCCTGCATGGGAACCTGTCTCTTGGGCAGCCCCCGCTGACTGCAACGGAGCCCTGTGCAGGCAGCATGGTCCAGCTAGCTCGGCCACCCTCCGCACCAGGGCCCTACGAACCAGACACCAGAGTAACAGTCACTATCGGCGTGGGAGCAACACACACGCACAGAGCCATTGCACACACATGCACACACAGCCATCAGAGATACACACACACACACAGAGCCATTGCACACACACGCACACACAGCCATCAGAGATACACACACACACACACAGAGCCATTAGAGATACACACACATACAGAGCCATTGCACACACACGCACACACAGCCATCAGAGATACACACACACACAGAGCCATTGCACACACAGGCACAGAGACACACACATGCACAACTATCACAGATACAAGCACAGAGCCATTGCACACACAGACATGCACGTGCACACAGAGGCATTGCACACACGCACACACAGCCATCAGAGATACACACACACACACAGAACCGCTGCACACACAGGAACATGCACACATGCACACACACAGAGCCATTACACACACACACACACACACAGAGCTATCAGAGATACACACACAGAGCCATTGCACACACAGACACGCACATGCACACAGAGCCATCAGAGACACACACACCACACACACACACTCGGCACCATCAGAGAGACACACACAGAGCCTGGAGAAATGGCCCAATGGCCTGGTCTGAGAGGCTACGGAACCGTCTCCCAAGGCAAGGGCTGGGTGTGCCATCGCCGGGACCACTGAAAAGCCAGCAGCAGGCTGTAATGCGCAATAGGGAACAATCAGGACAGAGGGAGACGTGACCAAACTGGCCCCTTCCGTCTCCCCTTTCTGCGAGGAGCAGTGAGCGGCTCTGGGCCCTGGGCTTAGTGCAGCTGCAAGGAAGGGAGCCGTCTCCAGGCTGCCCAGTCGAGGCAGTGCTGGGCCTGCAGCATCCTCCCCAAGATTTAGACTGCTGTCTCACTGGTCTGTCCATCTGTCTGTCTGTCTCCCCTCACACGCCTATTCACCTGGCCATGGCCAGAGCTCTCTGGCTCTAGAGGGACTAGGAGCATCCCTCCCTAGAGGGCCCCATTCTACCCAGGAGCTGAAACCTGAGAGCAGCAAGGCTGTGGGATGGCAGGGATTCCCCCCCCCCTCCCCGCGGCCCCTGGAGACTGTGGGGCAGCCCCTGGGGGTGCTGGCAGCAGGGTTTGTGAAACCTGAAAGTGACAAGCTGGGGCACGAGCAGCCTGAGACTCGTCTGCAAGCTCCCTCTGTCGTCTCCCGGTCTCGCTCCCCGCAGGGAACATCAGACACTGCTCACCCCTGGAAACGGGGGCTGCCGGGCCAGCCCTTCCAGACAGTGTCTCGTCACCATCCGTCCCCCCATCCCTGGGGCCTCTGGCTCTCAGACTGCCCCTCTGGGCCTGCCCACAGCGACTGTGGGGCAGGGGAGAGGAGCAGTCCTGGGGGCTGTCACCTGCTCTGACTCTCCTGTACCCAGGAACACAGGACTTGCCGCAGACAAGCAGACAAATGGCCCTTCTAGGCTGGTTCCTGCCTCCCTCATCAGCCAGCGTTACCTGGCCCAAGTGCCCCCGGCAGCAGTGAGGTGTGCGCGGCAGCTGTCCCGCTGAGCCCAGCGCTGGCCACCGACGCAGGGAGAGCGCCGTGCCTAATCCGCCGGGGTGAGGCCCAGAGAACAGGAGGAGGGGACTCTTGGGGGTCTGCCGTCGCTTGCTGGGGTGACCCTGCCCTGGATCTAAAACCTGGCCAGCCTCGGCACGCGGGGAGATCCCTGCTCCCCGATGTTAGAGCTGGAAGTGCTATTAGGCCAGCTAGCCACTGTCCTGAGGAAGGTCTGCCCCGGGCGGCGCTGCTGCCTGCCCCAGCTCTCCTGTCCCTCATCTCCAGGTTCCTACATGCTCCCCTGGGCCCCCTCATTCATCCCCTCCCTCCCTCCCCGCTCACAGGGCCAACTCCTGGGGGCTCCTGCCATCCCCCCTTAGCTGCAGGTTTTCACTTCTCCTCATACGCCAGCCCCAGCTCTCCCCTCGGCTCCCTCCACGTGCTGCCCAGCATCGTGCCAGAGGCCGGTCACGCCCTTGTCCCCAACGTGACGCTGCCGTGCAACATCCCCCAGCTCTCCGGTCTCCCTGGAAATCCACGTCGAGCCCAGCAGGCATAGAGCCCCACAGCCCCTGGAGGGAAATGGGGAGCCCAGCCTTGTGACCCGCTCAGGGGGGGATCGCTGCCTGCCTGGGGGCCGAGAAGCAGCACAACGCAGGACAGGAGCTGGGTCTGGAGCGGGCGGCTGCTGGTGACCCCCATGTTCCCTTGCCACGCTGGATCCCTGGAGTCACTGCTCTTGCACAGGCGGGGGGCAAATCTCTGCCCCTGCCCAGCCAGAGATGGGAAGCCACCTGAACCCAAAGGGCACCCGGGCGCCAAGCAGGGAACATGCGCAGTGACAAGGAGCAGAGCAACAGAGCCAGCCAAGCAAAGCCGCCCATTCTGTAAGAACCTCTCCATGTGCTCCCTGTCCCCGCCCTGCATCGCTGCCCTTGGCAGCCGAGGACCTCGCCGTGCAGACGGGAGCATACTTCTCCTGTGGAGACTGCAGTCTTCCCAGCGGCTCCTACCCCTCAGGCCCCAGGGTTCCAGCCTGTGCAAACCAACAGACCAGAAGAGCAGGGGACCCAGAGAAAGTCAGGGAAGCTTCCAAATGCCGAGTCCCGCAGAGGTTGGCACAGACATAGGTTTGGCCTTTGGGGCTCACGTGTTGCACTCATCTCCTGGGATGAGCAAATCCAGCCTTTTAGCACCTGCTGCCTGGCGGACTGGTTAGGTCATGAGCAGCGGGGGAGTCTCAGGTCACTGAAAGCCGTGATAGACACCTTAACACAACAGTGAGGGGCTGGCCAGCGGTCAAGCCCAGGCTCTGCCAGCCCTTCCAGACAGTGTCTCGGCCGCAGCTCCCGGGCTGGGGCACGGGCACGCTTTGAACACCACCGAGGCTGAAATGCTGGTTCCCCAGTTGCTACATTATTCTGGGCAGATTCTCGCTCACCTGCAAAATAGGAAGGTTTCGCTTTCTCTGCCAGGCCTTGTGCCAGATCACCCCGATTTAACCTAGCCCTGGTTCCCCGTGATCTGAGCCAGCCTCGCTGTGCCCAGGCTGAGCCTGCATGCCCTTCTTCTCCTGGAGGGCCCCATCCCAGCTGGGCAAACCTGCATCACTGTTCATGCTGATCCAAGGCAGCCAGATACTCTACCCCTTGCCGTACCCTGAAAGGGCAAGTCGTGCTCGCACCTCGATTTGGGGGTGCATCACAGCCCCACTCTCCAAGGAAGCACATGGAACAACGGACCCCCAAACCCATTCTGAGCCCAGCCCTGAGAGAGGTTTTAGTATGTTAATAAAGCAGGGAGCAGTCAGGGTCAGGCAGCCTCCTGACTAGTTAGTATGTTAGGTAAAAATACACCAGCCACATCACTGCCACACATGGACCCGGAGAGATAATCGAGAGGAGGCAGTTAGGTTAGTGGCGAGATCCCCAGCAAGTCGTTAATATCAGCCTGAAAGGAACAGGTCACGGTGGTTAGTACAGAAACACATAGGGGTTAAAGGTGTGGGGGGGTCTGCTACAGAAACAGGCAATAAACTGGCATAAAGACCGAGTCACGCTGTGGGTCCTTCTCCAGCTACACGTCTCAAGGCAAAGCAGAACAGCTGTTAGCAGTTAGACAGCAGCAAAAGGGGAGTGAGCCCCGGAGCGTCTCACGAGCAAGAGAGGCTCCAATCACTTACAGGCCAGATCCATAAAGCACTTGGGCAGAGTTGCTCTTGGAGAGCACCCACACCTGGAGAGCAAGCGATGCTCCTGGCTGCAGAGTGCACCTGTCTGTCTGTCTGTCTGTCCGGGCGGACACTCTCCTCCCGTGAGTTCTGCTTGCCTGAGTGTCAAAGCCAGGCTGCTCCCGAGTGGAGGCAGTTCCAGGAGAGGATCTCGTGTGTAGCCCTCGGCCACGCTGAGATGCACAGAAGGGACAAACTCACCCCGCCCTGTCAGCGGAGCTAACAGCGGGGGAATGGGGACGGGTGCTTGGTAAGCCAGTACCACGCTGCATCTGGTCCCGCTCTGCCCCTGGACTGGCGCTGCTCTCCTCTCTGCCTGCGCCCCCTCCCTGTTCTCACTGCGCCCTCCTCTCACTCCTGCCATCTTCCCCCTGAGCTCTCTGACCTCTGCCCACTGGCTCTGCTCCCTAGTTGGGGGAGCTCTCCACACTGCCCTGGAGCCACTGCGATCTCCCCAGCTGAACCTCACCGGGGCACCTCCCTTTGCTCCCCCGCCCATGCACGACTTTCCGTGGAACATCTCACGATGATGCCAGCCACACACACACGTTACATTATCACCCCCGCCCCAGCTCTGAGCAGCGATGTTCTGGTTCACAGCCCCCTGCCGCTCCTGCTACCCACGTCTCCTCAGCCCGTTAGCAGCCACGTTTTGTTGGTTTGGCACCTTCCTCCCCCCGGAGCAGTGCAGGAGGGACCCACTGCCTGGCCAGGTACCCTGTGCTGCAGGCTTCATGCATAGCCTTTGGGGTGGTTAAGGGCGTCAAGTTCCCACTCCAGCTATTATCACTGACTGATTTAGGAATCGGGCCTTTGCCTTCAGTATTTAAGTGCAGTTAAAAGGACAGCAACCAGCATTGCTCTCCCTCCATGCAGGGGTTAGGTTAGTCCTGTTAATCACTGCAGGCCCCCCGAGGGGATGCTGGTGAGCTAGCGGATATTCCTGGTTTGCATGCCAAAGGCACAGTGGATGGGCCAAACCCTGTAGCCTGTACTTTGGCAAACTCCCAGAGAAGGCAAAGGGAATGCAGCCCATGCAGGTGGAGTGAAAGCTGAACGAGACCTCACAACTAGGCCCAATGTTAGTGCATCATGAAATACGTTAAATGCCTCGACGGCAGATTTCCCTCTAGACAACATGGCCTGTTCCTCTCCCTGCCCGTCACCTCCCATGCTCTCGGTTAGGGACCAGGAGTAAGTACAACAAGTGCCAATCGACCAGAGAGGTTCAGCCCCTCGGCTCCTGGCAGTTAGGCGCTCGAGGTTGGCAACTGCTTTCCACATGCATCAGTGCCAAAAGGAAACCAGTGGAGATCCAAAGAAACTGAGTCCTGGCCCGGCACAAGCTGAGAGCGCCCCATGTCCGTCCCAAAGCTCAGGAGTAACAGAGGCACTAAGGCTGATGTGGAGGCCATTCCCAATGACAGATGAACCAGGCAGCGTTCCAAGCAATTCAAGAGTTTGGGGTACGGGTGGGGACTGCAGTTTCTTAATTGCTTTTTAACAGGGTCTCTCTGCAAATTAGCTTCACTGGACCTTCTGGCAAATACAAATTACGAAGTGACTGGCCAGTATGTGAAACATGCCACTCCAAACCGTTTTATAAAGCCTGTGAATAGCATTGTTTTCTCTTGGCCTCATAAAGTTGATTGAAAACCAGTGGCCTAATTTTCAAAACTCCTGAGCAACTTCCTTTCTCATTGCACTTAATGGGAGTTCAAGATGTTCAGCTGCTCTGAAAAGAAGGACAGCCGCATAACGTAGCAGGGTCGCATGGACAGGGGTCTGTCGGAGGGGTGGGGGAACACCTCTTCATTCATTTGTCATGGTGAAGAGCAGCAGAAAGTTAAGGAGCCAAAGAGTGTGTGTTAGTAGCATATAGAACCAACTAAGAAGAGATTAGTACAAGCAGTTAATAAAGAGCCACATGTCATAACCAGAGAGGGCATCTTAGTTCAGGAACAGAACTAGGAAAGAGAAATGGAGAGAAAAGCAGCAAAGGTTAGTTTGTTTAATTCAGTTTGGAAATTTGTTAGTCACAGGAGAGAGAGATCTAGTGACTTAAAAAGGAACTGAAAAGCTTTTGTCAATAAACCCAGTCTAGGATCCCTAGTCAGCAGCAGAATCCACATGCAGACTTCAGCGTTACAGACAGAAACACCCCGGGAAAATCAGTCCTTCCTCTAGTGACCTGCCAAGACAGGCGAAGCAGTGTCTGTCTTTCCTCTGCGGCTGTTGTGGGAGTTCCAACACCGACAGCAGAGCAGAGAGTCTGGCTCTCTGGTGTTCCTGGAGCGCTACACCATGTTGCTGGGGAAAGACAGAATCGTGCACTCAGGCCCTGTCAGGTACATGGAGGAGCAGCCCCCCACCGATTCCCTCGCTGTGTTTGTAATGTTTGACACTGCACGTAGATTCTGTTCCTGGGGCGGCAACTTGACTGGCTTCTTTGCAGACATACTTACGCAAGCTTTTCCGTTCCCCTTTAAAGGCAATGTTGCTGTCCCCGGTTAGTAGGAGGTGAAACAAGCCGGGTTAGTAGTGCATGCATTACAGCCAGTTAGTGGGTTAGTTCGTTCGCAAGTAACTTACTCCATATTCCAGCGGCATTAGCAGGCCTGGCTGGGGGGCAGAGTCTGTGAGGGCAGGGAGATCTTCCTGGGTTAGTACGTTAAGAACTTAGCACGGTAATATACATGCACAACGCACCAGTTAGTCCCACTTGCTGGTGGGGGATGCACCTCCTTGGAGTTTAGCCCATGCTGCTGTCATAGGCCAGGAGCAGCTCCTGGTATCTAGCGGCAGGAGACGCCTTTGGGCTATCGGGCCGGGATTTGGAATGTTGGTGGCTCATTATTCTGAGGCTAGAACTGGCCTGTGTGACCCTAAGTAACCGAACTGGAGAATAAAGCACTTTGCAAATGCAGCCCCTAGCACCGTCCTGGCCTAGGAGAGCGCTCGGCCCCTCCTGCTGCCATGCACCCCTGTGCAGAAGCATCTCCACAGCTACCAAGCCAGCGCGCTCCCCTCACTCACACCAGCTAGCAGGGAATCCTGCCCACAGCTCCAGGGCAGGTGAGAGTCAGGCTCTTGGGGTCTGTCTGCACTGCCCGCAGCAGCGAGCCTCCAGCCCGGGTTTGCAGGGCTCACGCTGCCCAGCCAGGGCTTTGGTGTGGCGTCCCAGGCTGGAGCTCGGGTTCCAAAGCCCGCCCCGCTTCCTGGCCTTCAGAGCCCGAGCCCCAGGCCGAGCCACACGGCAGCCCCAGCTCCACCAGCCCGAGCCTGTTGATCGCTGCCACAGGCGGTGGAGACGGGCCCGTAGTGACCGAGCCAAGGAGCTGCCAGCCCATCAGAGCTAAATGCGTCCGATCTACTGGGCAGGAGTGTGCCAGAAGAAGCAGAGGAAGGAAATGGGTAACAGGGTTAGGAGAACGCTGTGCAATTGCACTAAGCTGATGGCTGGGGCAAAGGCCATGAGCTGGCAGCGCATCAGCTGTTGGAGAGACAAAGCTATTTCTGTCCCGCTCTGAGTAGCTGCTGTCTTGCGAGCAGGGGCCCAGTAGGGAAACAAATGGAATTCCAAAGAACAGTGAAGATCTGTCTTCTGGCTCTCCCCCACGGCCTGACCATGAACCCGGCAGGCTGGGCGTATTGAGGATGCTTGGCTTGGGGGCTCTCCCCAGCATGCCCATGGAGCAGCACAGAACCACAGTGAACAACCAGAAGAGACTAACTGCAGCTGTGAAGCAGGAGAAGCAGAAGGTTCCTAGCTAAGGCAGGCTCCATCTGTCACATGCACTAGGGAATGTCTCAGGGATGGGAAGTGAGGGGGAAAGGAAACAAGGAAATAACCCCCTGGAACCAAACGGGGCACTCTATGCCCCCACCTGGCTCCCTCGGCTCCTCTCTCGTCAGGAGTAGGTAGATACAGCCAGGAGATTCCATCCCCCCGCTCTACAGACGCTGCAGTGTTCATACACTGTGCTGACACACATGGGAAATAGCTAGACTCGCCCAATGCAAGCTCCCTGGTGCGAGGCCCTCCATGCTGGCTTCTCGGAGAGTCCCTCACTGAACGGGAACACACCTGCAGCTAATTTTCCTAAAAGAATCCGACCTGCAAGTCCCACCACAGCACCCTGCCTGCAGAAGCTGCTCCCTGACCTCCCTGGGGCACGCTCCCACCCACCTCCCAGCAGCAGGAAAGTGCTGGAGTTGTTACGTTTACCAGGGGAACGCGGCGCTTGCTTAGCATGGTGATGGAGGACGGTGGCTCAGGGGAGTTCTGAGAGGTGGCATTCCCGCCCGCGTGCTCCACGTTGCTCCTGGAGGCTGACAGGTTTTTAAACACACAGCCCAGCACACAGGCCTCGGGGCAAGCCAATCTCCTTGAGGCACTCTCCCCTTATTACAGCCTGACACCAGCTGCGCAGGACAGGTATGGCAGAGAAAAGCCCCAGAACGTCGCCTGCAGGTGATAGAGACAATGAGCAGCCTGGGTCCCTCTGAGCCCCGAGCTCTCGCCCTGACACGAGGAGATCACACCACACAAGCCTCTCCGGGGGCTCAAGGAACTCAGAGCAGGCTCGCTGGCCCCCACCCCAGCTCCATTGCTACTGGGCTCAGCACCATTCACAAAAGGAACATTCACCGGAGCAGAGAAATCATGGCATGAGCCGGAGACGAAAGGCCAGTGGGATGAACTTGTTCCTTAAGCTCCTCCCACCGCCACCATTTCCCATTCAGTATTTCCAGAGCTACCACCACGGCCAGGTGATCCCTCAGCTCCTAGCACCCCGGTATATCACTCAGGGGGAGGGGAGCACCCCGGCGAGCCAGAAAGGCTAAGCATCATCATTCATGCAGATCGCGCGAATGCAGTAGCCTGCACCAGCGCTGAGCCCAGTGGCAGTCTGTCCTCTTAGCCCTGAGGATAATCTGCAGATGGACACTACAAACCCAGCCCCGCCCTCCTGGCCCACTGCCCCAAGGGCGGGGTGGGGGAGCCCTAAGGAATCAGTTCTCTTTCCGGGGGAGGTTTCAGACAAGCATGAACTGCTTTGGCGTCACCCCCATTCGTAAGCATCTAGAACGTTCCCCAGCCCTTAGCTCTTGTTCTCCTCCCGAGGGAACTAACTCTGTGAAAGGGCCGAGGCATCGGGATTTGCACTGGCTCGGAGAAGTGACCCTGGCAAGAAAGCCCCGCTGACCCAGAGCTAGCCTTAGCCACACTCCGTCTCGCAGCCCTCTCCCACTGCAAGCCGTCTACCCCTGTGAAAGGGGGGCACGGGCCGGGCCGCAATCTGTCGGGCAGTCGACACGCACAGGCTGACACGTGGCGTTTGCTACAGTCTCAAATCTTCCGGATGTCGTCACTAAGCAATACCTTCGGCAGTGTCCTGTGCGTGCTGCTCCCGCAGCTCCGAGCAGGCAGCCTCATGGCCACACTCACAGGCCAGCGAGTCAGCGTGATCCTCTCTGGAGCCACACTGGCTCCTGGGGATTTGTGGCAAAGAACCGAAACCCGCTCCCCGTGGTGCCAGTCTGAGGTGCTGTGACTCACTGCTGCCCCTTCCTTGCCAGGGCACCGCCATAGCGCTGCCGTCGGGTCGCCAGGGCTCAGGAATCCCACAGGGGAGCGAGATGGCGCATCCCTCAGGCAGACATCTGGTGTCTCTGCAAAGAAGGCAAACGAAGCTGTTAGATCCCACCAGGTGCCCTGCTCCTTCGTCCCGGTCAGTGCAGCATTAGGGCACTCTCTGCAGCGGAGACCTGGCCCTTTCCACTCTCAGAGAACTTTCCAGGGTTAACTAACGACTCCTCATCTCCACACTAATCAAAGCAGAGGCCCTGGGAGCTGCAGAATCAGATCTCAGAGATGATAGCCAAGGCTGCAGAGGGGCGTGAGCCTGAGAGGCAGGATTAGAGCTCAGAGGCTGCTGGCCCCAGGCCTGTGCTCAGACCTGTCCAGGCTTTGAGTCCTGCTCAGAGCAGGTCGCAAGGCCTAGGAAAAGGGCTGGACAAGGGCATAAGGGGCTGCTTGTCAGGACAGACGCGGAGCAAGTTAAACTCCAGCCAGGCCAGTGGGAGTTTGGGAAGCGCAGCCCCATCCAACAAGTAAGGACAGGGAAGGCTCTCCTCCTGGGCTTCTGGACGAATCGCCTGAGCAGAGCCGGCAAGCTGGCAGGCGTCATTCGAACTCCACCCCCTCGTGCTGTGAGGCACTTCGGCTCAGGCACTGTCTCCCTGGGAAGGGCTGCCCAGCACCCCAGGTCGCTCAGGGGCCACTTCTCACTGCCATGGGAATGTTCCTCCCCACTCAGGCCTTTGCCAGGCTGGAGTGGGACCCACGCGGTGCCTAGGCCTGATGCTGCCCTCTGGGAGTCTGGCCACCCCATGTGCCAGCCGCTAGTGCCACTGTGCGTGGCTTGCCCCGTGTCCTACCTGGTGCCACTGGCTACGAGAACACTGTAAAATAACCCCCCATCTTGTCTTGCTGCTCCGGCCGCGCAGGGGACTGTGTGTGAACAGACCTCAGGTCAGTCATTAGCAGCTGCAAAAGAAAGCAACCAACACAGCAAAAGAGAACAGCATGCGGCACCTTCCACGGCCACCCAACTCCCCAGTTCCTGGGGTCCAGGTGGCACCGAAGGGAAGCCCCGCACTAATAAGCACCCCAGCAGGAGAGTCTTGCCTGCGATGCTCTGCTGCCCTGTGGGAAACGGGGGCTCAGAGGAGATGGTGCCAGAGGCTCCCCGTCCCTGGGCTGGGCTGGCACAGGGGCTATAGGCCCCTCTTCCGGGCAAGGTGCTTTCAGAGGAAGCTGCAGAGCCTCTCCTGGCTACAGAAAGGTCCCACACTGGCTGTGTCCCTGGGGATACAGAGATAGATAGACTGCAGTCCTCTGGGGCCACCCCCACCCTAAGCTAGGAGAAAACATGACAGCAAAGACACTACTGGACTAGGAAAGGGGTGGCTAGTGGCGCCGTCCATGTCTGCATGCAAGTCCCCTCCAAAGGAGCCCCTTTGGCTTGGGCATCTCCAGGGCTCGGGCATGCAGAAGCCAAGCCCCCAGCTTTCTCCAGAGTCGCTCGCTGTCTCATTTGATCAAATCCTCTTCATTAGAAATGGCGTCTGCCAGCGGCATGTGCGGTGTCAGAGCAGGGCTCACTGGGTCACTCGGCGCTGGCTGGACTGGCTTCCATTCATGGCTTAGGAAGGAGCCAGCTTTACATTCCGAAGGAGAGAGAAGACGAAGGCGGAACACGAGCTAATTGGGGCCGTAGCTCTGAGCCATGGAGTGCTGGGCGTGCCGCAATGCTGTGCGCTCCCTGCTGTCCGGCTGCATAGCACGCCCCGGGGTGGGGGACAGGCCTGATGGGGGTGAAGGGCAGGGCATTGGGTCTTCCGTTCAGGAAGAGCAAAAGCCTGGCTCCCTGCGTGCCGCAGGAGTCACTTTGCTGACACTGCTTAATCAAAAGAGATGATTCCCAGACACCAGCAGCTCCTCAGTCAACAAGCCAGCCCCTCATTGGCCTGGGTCCCCCGGCTACTTGTGCCATGATCCAGAACCTGTGCTCATGCTCATGCCTTCCTGCAGGGCTACGCCTACTAACACCTGCATGGTACGTGCTGCGGTGATTCACACTATCACAGACAGCAATAAAAGGAACCATCCTGTGCCCTGGAAGAGGGAGCCGGCCCTTAGTCTGGGGTGTGGAATCTGTACAAAACCTGATTCTCTGCAGGAAAAGGGGAGGGTGGGTCTGGAACCATTCCGAGATAGTTGTGTATCTCCATTTTCTGCTGCTGTCCACTGCCTAGATTTCCCCTGAACTAGCTGCTTCCCCACCTGATGCGTGTGTGTGCACCTGTGTTGTTTTCAGGGCTGACTAGATTGTTAAAGTTGGTCCAAATGTTCTGAATTTCAATTTTTCAATTACATTTTTGATCAAAATTGATTTTTGGGGGAAGAAAAAAAACAAAAAAACTTTTTTGATGCAATCAGGTGTTTTGACCACCTCTAACTTGTATGTACATTTGCACCATGTGTGTGTCTCTGTGTGGCGTGAACATGGGGACAGGTGGGGCAGAATGCCAAGAACCATTGAAGCATCTTTTATTACACTGTGTCCGAAGTGATGCTGAAAAAGGACCCGTTTCCTCTTTGTGTCACTAGGAGACAAAGCCATAGACATCCTCCATTGACCACCAGCACTGAGTTCACTTGCAGTGGACAACGGATCTCGTGCTAGTCACTTGGGGCAGAATCTAGCTCCCAGGAAATTACCCCTAAGCCCCCTGCAGCTTCTTCCCAACAGCAGTGCTAGAAAGGAGCCTCTCTGAGTTTCCTGGAGCCCATGCACAGCTATGCCCCGGTGTGTGTATGAAGGAGGCATAGAAAGTCCATACCAAACAATTACCCATTTCAGATCGTAATATCCTAACCCGCCCAGCCTCATGCACTCCTTGCAATCTTCTGTAAAGCTACAGAGAGTTTGGGTCGGATTCTGATCTCAGTTACACGAGAGGCTTCATCTTCAATAGAGTTACTCTGGATTCACCCCAGGATACCTGTGACTGGGGTCCTGCCCCACCTTTGTATTTAGCTGAAATACAGTCAGCTGACAGCATTAGAGTCCGACTTTGCTAATGATTTGTGTTCAAAATCAATATGAACATAACAACAAGAGCCCTGGCTAAAACCCTCTGGAAATGGGCAGAGATGACTGCAGCACAGTCTCTGATGGGACACAGCTGTCAGCTAGTTATTATTATTCCAGCTAACAATTAGCCGTCTGTATGAAAATGGCTCTCCTCAGGAAGCCCCGGCATGCATGCATTTGGTGAACACCATGCACTGAGGATCGTCCATAGGACCTGGGGGCCGTCCTCGGGAGTCTGTAGGAAGGTTGCCTGCACGGCTAGAATAGACACAGTGGAAGCCAGTAAGAATGTAGCACAGGGTTTCCCGGCATGGGGCCGTAAGATGGAGGTTGGGTTCTCTAAAGGTAGGTAATTGCCCTGTTGCCAGTGAACTGAGAGCTTTAGCACACTCCCTTTGTTGGGCCATAAGTGGAGTGTGTTCCTGGGAATCGAGTGGAGAGAACAAATGACAATGTGCTGGTGGCAGTTAACAAAATGTTCGTTTTGGGCACCACTGAACTGTGCTTTCTGGTTGCAGTCTTGGGCTGCCTGTTGGCTTGTGTATACATTGGTTGCAGGGAGCTTTAGCTAGCGTAGCATGCGGGGATGCGGCAGATGTGAATATGCAGCCGTATTGTTCAGGTTAAGCAAGGGATAAACAAAAAGGAAGCCAGGACTGAAGCCCAGCTTTGCACTCGGCAGGAGCAAAATGCACGAAGGAACAAGAGCCCACCCTACACGAGTCATGTCACGCGAGCAGCGTGTGTGATGAGCGGAGGTGAGCAGAAGAGCAGAGTGGGGAGAGAGAATGGCTTTCTTCAGGGCAGAGTTAGAGTTACTTACACACCATGATTGCTAAGATTCAACATTCTGGGCATTCAGTGCTGTTCTACGCTTCCCCTGTCTGGGCATTGCCCCTCACTCTGCCATAGCAGGACTTTGTATTCCTTCATTTTGATTCCTGGCGGAGTGTGAAATCTGAATTCAGTCGGATGTTACTGCACTCCAGGAGTGGCTGAGTCTGGCTCTGAAGCAAGCCTTCCTTTGCCTATGGCACTAGCTGGGCATTCAGTAACTAGTTTGATTATGGCCTTTGATGTATTTTTAAGAGAGGCAGATCGGGGCATTCCTTAGGGTTTTGAGAAGCTGCTAGGCATTAAATATCCCATTATTTCTAGACTTGCCTTGATTGTCAGGGTTGGGTTAGATTTTCCAATGCAAAAGGTGGCAGAACAATAATGGATGTGAAAATGGCACCCCAAAATGCTCGGTGGTAGCATCTGTCAGATTAACTCTTTGCAGACAGGAATGGATGTACTAAAGTCCCCTTGATAGGCTGGACTTTCTCGGCTCTCTCCGTGTCCCTGTCCCTTTCCCCCCAGCATTGCTCCTAATTCCCATATTTTAGAGAAAATGGTGGTTTAAAGGCAGAGAACTAAACCAGCGTTTTTACTGCATTCCCTTCGGGGAGCATTGGAAATGATGCAAGGTTCCATTTACCTGTCTTAAACCCTATGCTTGATGTGGATCAAAAAGATGCTTCTGGAAAGAAAATACAAACAAGTGGCATATCAGTTAATCTGAGCCCTCAGCTGCTCAGCGCTGAAAATGGAGCCCTGCATCCGCCCAGCGCCTGCCTAGCTGTGCTATTGTTCGGCAGGGACTCCGTGCAGACAGGGCCGATAATGAGGTTAGGAAAAGGCAATGACAACGAACAACTGATCATTCCACTTAACAAAGGAGTTAGCGAAGGCAGAGTGTGCCCTTAGCCTCCTCACACTGCAGTGAGGCTAGTGTCCGTTTCCCCACCAGGAATGACTCAGAGATAGATGGGAAATAGCCGGGCACCGAATGGACATTTTTAGTGATGAACCAACGAGCTGAAGGCCAGTCCCCGCTGGCCCCTTTCCAAGGTATGTCCCCATTTGCTAGGGAACAGCTGCAGGAAAATCCCCCTCTGGTTTCCACACCGAGTTTTATCAACACCTAGTTATCGGAGTGTCTCTGTGCACACACCACACCCAAGTGCTGGCGGTGCCGAGAAGCTGGCCATCTGGGGACAGGCTGAGTCACGGGAGAAACACCCCGACAGAAGGCTGTGACCAAGGGGAAGGGGACCGTTTCACCCAGACAAAAGAGAAAACCAAGATAAGAGCATCCTCACCTGATTTCCATGAGAAACCGCGACGCAGGGACCCCAGGCTGGGCGAGATGTTGGCTGGTGTACAAGCCTCTTTGTGCTGGAGCTTTCGAGAGAAAGAGAGAGAATCCCTGGGTAAGATATTACCATGCAAACTCCACCCCATCTTCTCGACAGCAGTCCCCCCCCCACCCCCGGCCGTCCAAGCAGCCCTGCTCGTGCTGCATATGGCCCAGGAATCTGCTGCAGCTCCAATTAAATTTTAATGCTGAAAATGCAGCCAAGTCACCTTCACTCCTCCTGCTCCTTGTGCAATGTCCCTCCCCCCGTGCCCACGCCTCTTGCTGAGCCCCCCGACACGGGGCAGGCGTGTGCCAAGCACGGGGAGGTGCCCTGCACTGAGCGCTCACAGGCTGGGTGCTCTGGGGTGAGGGGGGCTGGGCCGCGGCTTGACAATCCTGAACCATTAACGTCCAAGTGAATAAAGGGAAACCACTGAAAAGCTCGGAATAATCAGCCCATCTGCAGGCTGCTGAATGGGCTGTGTCGGAAACCAGCTGCTGGCTTATTCAAAGCGGGCACTTATTCCCCTTCTGCTGGAGCCATCTGGGCTGCCATGGCAACAGCAGTCCTAGCAGGCCTGGGGTCAGCTCCCACTCAGGAGGGGGGGAAGATCCGACACCAGCCCCACGGCTCGTTAGGGCTGGGCTGGATGGAGGCTGCCTTCGCTATCCTCTTCTGGGAGTGGCTGGCCGGAGCTGGGCCAGCCCGGGAGTGGGCGGGGGGCCACACTTGAGGGGCCTGGTGCTTCCCTAGACCTTGTGTCTGGGGGGCTGGAGGCTGTGCTTTCCATCCAGCCTGCCCTCTGCCTGCAGGGAGACCCGCACGCAGGTGGGTGATGCCTGACTCGGGCACTGTGCAGGGCCGGGAGGGCCACCCCTCGCCCCCCAGCCTGCCTGGGCAGCACCGTGAGCCCCAGCACTGGGCCCTGGCGGGACGCAGATGCCCACACCAAGGGCCATGTGGCATTAGGACGGGGGCAACTGGGACCAGGCCCTGGCCAGCTCCATCACAAGCCCTTACGCTGCGGTGCTAATGCTGTGAACCTGGCTGGGCTCTGCTCTCTGTGCCCGTCACCCTGCTGTCCTCTATGCTCCTGGTCCCTCCCCCACGCTCTGTGCTTCCTCCCCACCGTCACGCCGGCCCCTCTGCACGCTGGCCCCCCCCGGAGCAGCTTCACCCCTGAGCTTTGAGCCCTGGCACTGGGAGGGCGGGTGCAGACCGGACCCTGGTGCTCATGCTCTGAGCTGTCTCACGCTGAGAGCCCCTTGGCAGAACGGTGGCACCCAGTGTCCTGTGCCTACAGTGTTAGCTGGCCTGGGCCAAGTGGCCAGCTGCATCTGAGATTGAGCACAGCATGCTGAGGGCTCCACATAGTCTCCCTCCGGTGCAAATTAGGTGCAGCTCTTGGTCTCCTGGCAAGTGCCAATGCAATTGTCAGCGTGTGAATTGAATGCCAGCCTGCCGTGGCTGCAGGGCCCCTCGGGGTATCACCCACCTCCCAGCATGTCACCACCCTGCAGTTTGCTCCCTTCCCAGCATTCAGCATGCCTGCGGAGAGCACCAGCGCTGTGGGGAGAGACACACAGACCCCATCGTGGGAGCCGGGCAGGTGGTGTGTGACTCAGAGCAGGGTGGGGTCGCGCTCCCTCCAGCCAGGCAGAGATCATCGCGGGGCAGGAGTCGATCTGAATTGGGTAGCATCTAAGTGTCAGCTTGGATCCAGTGCCTCAGCAAGACGGCCCAGCACAGGGAGCCTTCCGGGCCACCCTCCTCTCCCTGCTGCTCCCGCTAATGGTGTGCACGAGCAAACGGTGCCCCTGCTGCCTGCTGCAGGTTGCCTCGGCCTCGCTAGGGCCCGGCAGGACCTGCAAGCAGCCAAAGGCAGGAGGGAGAGGAGGGCCTGGGGTTGGGATCAGCTCCACTCTGCAGCAGAGAGGACAGAGCTTTCTCTCCCTGCAGCAGGCAGCTCGCCAGGCCGTAGCCTGCTCTGCTCTAGGAAGTGGAGCCTGAGTCGCGGACCTGAGCTGGCCTCAGAACTGGAGAAGGGGGGTTCACGGGCTTGACAGGACCCTGCGCCCCAGCTAACCAGCCACGCCCGGGGAGCGCTGACGGGCAGTTCTCTCCCTCCATGCCCGGCTGCCATGAGTTTGGTGGGTCTCAGTCGAGCTCCCACCTCTCGAAGTCCAAACCCGCCCTCAGCCCAGAGGAAGAGCCTTTCTTCAGGAATGCTGAGGCCCGGGCCGGGAGTGCCTCCGAACGGCTGGCAGAGAAGCGGGGCTCCTGCAGGGATCCCTGCCGGGGACGGCTGCCTCTCCCCCCCGGCTGCCAGCCTGTCACCTTCCACCAGCAACACACCTGCCTCTGCCAGTGAATTATTTACAAATGACTCCTGCACTGCCCAGGGCCCCAATAAATCTTAATCCGCCTCTGCCCCCCTCTGCTCCAGAGAGCCCCAGGGGCATTGGAGCTAGCAGAATCCCTGCAGGGAAATCCAGCTGGAGTTGGCTCTTCCCCAAGGCTTCCCCCCACCCGCCGTAGAACGGCCGCCTGGCTCTTCCCCGAGGCTTCCCCCCACCCCGTGCAGATCGGCCGCCTGGCTCTTCCCTGGGGCTTCCCCCCACCATGCGTAGAATGGCCGCCTGGCTCTTCCCTGAGGCTTCCCCCCATCCAGTGCAGAACGGCCGCCTGGCTCTTCCCCGAGGCTTCCCCCACCATGTGTAGAATGGCCGCCTCTCCTCCCCCCACCCCTGTATAGAGCAGCCACCTGCACAGCTGGCCTGATCTCGCCTGGGAATGGCAGGCTGCTGCCCTACATCCTCCGGCAGCTCCGGTCAGACCCGTTCCCCTAAGGGCTGTGGAGCGTTGCTGTGCCCTGCTCAGGAGCTACTGCATCCTCCCCGAGATGGGCCCTGGCGAGCACAGATTCCCCTGTGACTATGTCTGCACTGCAGGGTAAGGCCAGGGTTCGAACTCAGGCTCAAACCTAACACCCGTCTGTCTACACACTAATCGCTCACTCCAGGGTCCCAGGACCCCATAGGGATCAAGTGTCTGAGTCAAGCCAGGACCCAGGGTTCAAGCCCGGTTGCTTTGCAGTGTAGACACAGCCCCACAGGACTCGTGCTCTGGGAGTCGGCCGAAAGTGTCCCACAGTCCCATGGACTGACTTGCTTTGTCCTCTGGACAGTCAAGTTTGGTGGATGGTCAGGTTTTCCCACAGTGCCCCATGGTCAAAGGGTCACATCTGGGGAGGGTGCTAGGAAGTCCGGGACATGGGTGGTTGGACTCGGGCTCACACAATGCAATATAGACGCCGAAGCCTCCGGGTTCAACGATTCCTAACCTGGGGTTACAAATGAGCATAGATGCTCCAGGCCTAGGTTAACAGACCCAGCGTCTGCTGACTCGAGTTTTGCTGACCTGGGGCTTACACTGCAGTGTAAACAGACCCTGTATGTGTGTGTGGGAGAGGGAGTGCACCTCGGGGGGGGGGGGTGCATGCATGTGGGTCAGAACATGGGAGGGCGGAGGTAAGCTGTGGGTAATGTACTTCAGGATGAAAAGTGCCATAGAAATTAGTGGAGCTGTCCGTGGCGGCTCGCACCCGCAGGCGTGGTTCTGTGCAGGGTAGGTGCTGGTGGGAGAGAGCGCCAACCTGTGGCCAGGGCGAGAATTGGAAAGCATGAGGAAGGTCAGGGAAGAGCCGAGAAGGAGCCACCTGGGAGGGGCTTGCAGTGATTACCCGGTTGTATCGTCTCAGTCCATTCAGGGGCCTGGCACCCCTGTCAGAGACCCTACAGAGTGAGCGGGATGCCCTGTTTGGAGCACCATGGCCCCAGTCACTGGGCTCCAGCTGAGACACATCATGGTTTTGTGCTGTTCAGAGTCTAAAGCGAGGAGCCCAGCTTCATCAGCATCAAGCCAGGGGTTTATCCCCGGCCCCACGAGGGCAGAAGGGGAGGGTGAGAGGTGGGACCTCAGGCAGAAGAGGAGGCCCGCTTTGAGCAGGGGGTTGTCCTGCTTTGAGCAGGGGGTTGGACTAGATGACCTTCTGGGGTCCCTTCCAACCCTGATATTCTATGATTCTAGGAGGGGCCAGGGGCTAGCGTCCCCCAACGGCTGGTTCACTGGCCACCCATGCTCCTTCGTGTCCTAAGGAGGGGAGGCCCCCTCTCCCTAATCTACCAGCAGGTCCCATGCTAGAGAGGGGTCTCTACAGGGCTCACCCAGCACATGGCACAGGCTGTCATCCGTGGGGCGCAGGGGGCTCTGCAAGCATTCATCGACCCACAGCTCCCTGGGAAGATGCCACTGTCAGCACACAGGGGGATGCGGAGAGTTAGTGCCAGAGCTGGGGATAGGGGGGCTGATTCTCAACCCCAAACAGCAGCTAGGGCTGGCCAGGAAGCACTTTTCCTACCCTGGGAAAACTTTTGAAAATTTGAAAAATGTCCCCCTCCCGAATTGGGATGAAAAGTCAAAATCTTGAAAGTTGTATGAAGTGACTCTCTGGGAACAAAGAACTCGGGGTCAATGGAAATGTTTCATTTCAATATTGACCTTTTTGATTTTTAATGCTTGGTACTACAATTAATTTACATTTCTAAACGAAAAGTCGTTTTGAGGCAAAGGCGGAGACTGTGTTATTCTGACAGTTTCCAAATGCGACATTCTGACAGTCTCCAGACTTTTCCCCCAAATTAGTTTTGTGACAAGCAACTTGTGGAATCCAGGCCTTTTCCCACAAACAGCGTCGGTTTGGCCGAACCCTTCTTCCAAAACTTCCCGCCAGCTCTCAGCGCATCCCCTCCTAGGCCGACTGGCCACACTCAGGCCTTTAGCTCTGCATAGTTGTGAGACAGCCAGAGATTCCCTTGTGCCTTAAGGAGCCATCGAGAAGCTCCCTGACTGCCTGTACTGTGCAGAGTGATAAACTATACACACGGCATGCACAGTGCCGGGACCCACTGCTGAGAGACGCTAGAGATTCGGCGTGTAGCTTGTTATTATATTAGTGTTAGTGTGGGGCAAAGCACAGGTCAAGTCCCTCATGTTCATTAGCAACACACCTGCCTTGGCTTCACTCTTCCAGGGCCACGGACGCAGTGAGGCTTTGCTGTCTCGCGTGGACAGCGTGCCAGAGTGTCCCAGGGCTGGCTGGTCCTGCAGAGCCCACTGCGAGTGCGGGTGCGCTGTTGGAGCCGGGATGAGTTTCATTCGTGGCCACGTGGTGTCACCCTGGCATTGTCACAGGAGCAGCTGGTCGAGAAGCTGCTGAGGAATAAGATTGGTCCAGAGCAGATGCTGGTTTCCGGGGGTCCCACGCCCAGCTACTCAGCCTGATGCACCAGAAACCTCGCCCTGGTCGGGATTCCAGGCAGAGAGAGGCTGGGTCAGAACTGTGGGGCTGGGCTCCTGTGTTCCAGGAGCATCTGCACGAGGATTTGGATCCAGAGCTGAATTTGGCAGCTGGGGTCTCTCTTTCTAGTGGGGTTGAATCTGAGCACGCCCTGAGGGGAATGTGCGGGTCCCAGCTTCATGGCTTGGGCCTGTCTCTAATTCCAGACTGCCCCTGCATTTCCCCTCCAGGAGGCCAAGCCGGCAGTGCTGGACAGACTCCACATCAGGCCCTGCCCCTGCTATGGGGGAGCGCCCAGTGAAGCGCTGCCCAGACACATTCTGCCACTCTCAGAGAGGAGGTCTCCCATCCTGACCCCACGGTGGGCAGCCAGCGTGTTTCCTCACCAGGCGCTGACTGGCAGAGGAGGGTGAGTGAAGCCATGGCATGGGCTGGCCGTTCCAACTGGTTGGAAATCTAGACTAGCCTGTTCTCAAAGGCCTGTGGGGCTTGGTGCCTCCAGCTTTGGGATCCCAACTGGGGACACCGTACAGGGGCTGCCCTTCCGAAGGGGCCTGCCAGACACACTGCTCTGGGCAGGGACCTCCTCCTGGGCCCTAGCATCCTCGCGGGGTGACTAGCAGTAAATACACACCCCAGCTATTGCAAAGTCTTCTCCACTTCTGCTACAGCCTCTTCCTCTGTCCCTGGGACCCTCTCTCCTGGAAGGGGGCTCTGTCCCAGAGTCCAGACTAGCAATGAGCACTTGGCTCCACTCTTGTGGTTTCAATGAATGTTGCGGCTGGCTTTCCGTGACCAGGATTTCATCCAGGTTCTCTCCTTGCAGTACCACCAGGGCGGGGCGGGGCTGACGCTGCCTTGTCATGGTCTGTTGTGCACATCAGACAGACGTCTTGGTGGTTTCTCATAGGGCTGGATGCTGCCGATGTCCGGAGTCTCTGTCGTGTTTACCAGGTGAATTGCTTCTGGATCCAGGTGTCCAGATGGCAGGCTCCCATTTGGCTCTCCATGGGAAGCTGCAGTTTGCTGTATTTCTGGAATATCCCTTAGTCCCCATCCCCGGCCCCGGCCAGAGAAGGGCAGGCTGCCCTTCAGTGCTCTTGAGCGGTAAGCTGGCAGTGCTGGGGGCTGCCTAGGACTGGGGAAGATCCCAGAGCTAGGCCTGCCCCTGCTCTCGGGGGGACTGCGTTCTGCCTTGGGGTGCCTTGGGCCAGGGCAATACACTGTGTTGACTAGCTGGCCAGCTCTGCAGCCTTGCCCACCAGCTGCCAGCCCTCCAGGCCTGTGTGCCTGCGGCTCTGGGCTGCCTGTGTTAACGAGTCCCCAGAGGACACGCTGCTCCCTGGCCAACATGTCCGGTAGCTGGAGCAAGGGACAAAGAGCCAGTCGGGCTGCCCCACTGCATCTAGCAGTGACATTCTCCTGACATTGTCTATCCTGAAACCGGGAGGGTCTCCCTGGGCTAACGCCCTGGTTGCAATAAGCTGGACTTAGCAGCCCTGGCTGGTTAGACAAGTGTACCTTTATTGAGCTTTGCTTTGAGCACAGCTGAGTGGGCCCTGAGCCAGGGGGCCCAGCAGAAGGCAGGTAGGGGTAAGACGCGGAGGGGCAGAAGGGAGTGGCAGCGGCCTGGCGGTTGGCAGCGCTCACTGCTGGATCCTCCGGATGGACTGAACCTGGGAGGTCTGCACGTGGGAGCCCAACTCCCGGAAGTGCTTGTATTCGCCCGCGTGACGGTCGCACTCCAGGATGTACTGGAAGCCCCGGTACCCAGGGAACTGGGAGCAGACCCAGCTGCGGAAGAAGCACAGGAGAAGCCATCGCCTTGGAGCCAGACCCAACCCCAGGGGAGCAGGGCGGGTGTCATGCGGACAGAGCGGTCGGGGACCCCACAGACTACAGTGCATGGGGGGGTCTGAGCTCCTGGGGCCCTGGGCCCTCGGGGTCCTACCGATTCTCCGCAGCCATAGCATCCCACTCTGGGACCCTGCAGGGGCACTGAGTCCTGGCCTCGGGGCCTGGCAGCTACATGCCAGGGGAGTGCTGCGGCACTGCTGAGCCGGGTTGGGGGCTGGCACTTTCAGGTGGGTTTTGAGCTCAGCCATATTGCCCCTCCACCCCTGCCCCGCCCTGCCCAGCCCGGGGAGGTACTCACGCTCCAGAGTGAGCGCGGAAGGAGCTCACCGCGCTGCTCCCCCAGCCCATGGCTGGCAGCGAAGGGTAGTCGTCGCTCAGCTCCCCTTTCCGCCCCAGGAAGTTCTCCCACTCGAAGACCGTCATCTTGCTGTCCTGGTGATTCTGCAGCGAGGGGATAGAGAGATTGCAGATGGGCTGGGGACACCTCCTGATGCCCATGCTGGGCCTGCCCCCTCCACGGGGCCGCTCTGCCCCAGTGCAGCTCCCCACCCAGGAGGGCTGCTCCTGCTTCACCCAGTTGGACGAGACAGCAGAAGCGGGCCCTGGCCGCTGGGAGCCGGGGCGCAGAGCAACTCACCCACAAAGGCCTCAGGGAGCTTGGGGGTGGGCAGAAGCCCAGGAATGCCAGGCCGCTCTCTGCTGCTTCGCTGCAGGGGTCTCGGGCGCACACGGGGTGACTCGCACCCGGCACTGGGGGAGGCGGGTGACTCTCACAACACCGCCTCTCTCCAGGCTGGGACCTGGTCACTGGAGTGAGATGAGCATCAGCACACGCTGCCCTGCTCCCACCGGGCATCCCAAAGAAGGGCCGGACCTGAGCTCTACCTTTGTGTCCCTTCCCGGGTCAGTCCCGCGCAGCGCCCCTCACAGACATGGAGATGGAACCAGCCCGCTGCGTGCTGACGCGCACGTCCCTACAGCCCGGGGCTGGGGCTGGGGCTGCACCAGCCTCGCCCCCATGAGCCGGGTGCAGCGGGGACCCTGGCTGCCCGGCTCCGTGTGCCAAGGCCCAGGCCATGAGAGCACTGACTGGCGTCCTCAGGGGGAGCACCGGCCGCGCTGCTTCCCCTTGCAGCTGGGCAGGGCTCGTCTGGTCAGCCCGCTGCTCTGCAGGGCCAGCAAGGCCGGGCGGGATGAGTGGGGGAGCGCGGGCGGCTGGGGAGGCCAGAGGGGGGCAATCGGCCAGGCCTGCAGGCAGCTCCCCAGCCCTACTCACAGCACAGGCGATGGGGCGGAAGGAGCTCATCCTCTCCACGTGGTAGGCATGGCTGCCGCTCCAGGCCTCCCAGCGAGGGTACTCACCTCGCTCCAGAACGAACTGCTGACCCTGGAAGCCCACGTGCTCAAAGCCTGCCCACCTGTGGGGAAAGCCAGAGCCCGGGTATCCAGGGAGATCAGGGGCCGTGAGTGCTCAGGCGACTGCGTTAGCTCAGGGCCGGGGCAACAGGCTGTGGCATACCTGCCAGAGACCTCAACTGGGATGACGAGCTGTCCAGCTCTGCATCCATGCCCACCGCCTCTGTGCTGGGTCCCAGGGCCCTGCTGGTCACTCCCCAGCCCTGCCCCTGCTAGCCTGTGCGGGAGATGGGGCTCATCACTGGCAGCCTGGCACATGGCAGGTTAGCACCCTGGCTGAAGTGAAGGTGCATGCATGTGCCCGCCCTGGGAGAGCTCCGAGGGGCTGGGCTGCTGCTCTCTGTGGCCGGTGGGGTTGGGTGGCTGGAGCTGGCAGCCCCTTGGGATGTGTTTACACCACTCCGGGAAGCAGAATGATTTCTCGGGGCAAAACACCAAGCGTTTTCAGGGACCAAATGTAATGGAAATCCCCGGTTTCCCAGGATGCCCTGCGGCACGAACAGCCCCCCGGGATGCAGCATTCTCCAGGGAGCAATGGGGCGGCAGTTTGGGAGCGGCTGCGATGGGGGAGCAGGGTAGGGCTGTCCCGGGACTCACGCGCCACTCTCAATCTTGAAGGAGCGGACTGTCTGGAAGCCACACTCCCTCACGTCATAGCACTCGGCGGTGAACTCCTTCTTCCGGCCCTGGAAGAATGCCTCATCCCACACCACCATCTGGGGGAGGACAGCTGGGGTCAGGGGGCTGCTCTGGCATCATGGAGCGACGCTCCCTGGCTCCCGGAGGGCGCCGGGGGCATCCCACAGCCCAGGGGCAGCTCGCACATTGGAGCAGCATGGGGCTGACATCCCCTTAGGCCCCACACCATGGTCCTCCCGCTGAAGCTCAGCCCCAGGCCAGGCAAAGTGCAGTGGGGGAGCGAGCAATGGGTTGTGCTGGGCAAGGGTCCAGCTGTGACCTGCCTTTAGCCAGGACCCCGCAAGCCGGGGAGTGGTTTCTACATCCAGCCAGGCTCCCTGCCCCTGTGTTTGGCATCAGCCCCAGGGCAGGGGGGGCAGGCTTCATGAGAGCAGGGAAGGGGTTAACTCCGCCGGTGCATGAAGGGCTTGGCTGGGTCTGGGCCAGGCAGGGGGATAACGCCTTGGGCCAGACTCTGTGAGAGACGGGGCCGGGGGGGCGAGTCAGGTGCTCCAGGGAGAGGGGAGGGCTGGGCTGGGCCTCCACTCCTGCCCCATCTCTGGTGCCTGCCTGCAGTGAGCCACGGCCCGGCAGACAGCGGTGCTGAGCGCCTGCAGCTCCCAGGGAATGGGACTCTCGCCTGTGCCCTCTCAGCGGCGGGAAGGGCACTGCCCTCGGCTCGCTGCCTTCCTGTGGCACTGCTGGGCCTGGCTCGCAGGCCCTGCCCCAGCCTGTCGAGCTGGGGGACTCTGCGTCGCTGGGAAGTATCCCCACGTTGCAGTCAGCAGCCTCAGGGGAGGGGCCGCCACCCTCCCCCCGTGCTCTGTGCCGGAGCCCACGCCGGCTGCGTCCAGCAGAGGGCAGCAGTGCCCGGGCCCGAGCTGGCCCCCCTCAGCCGGAGCGGGGTGCAGGGAGCCCGGCTCTGCACGCACAGAGCTTGGCTGCAGCAAACGGGCGGTGTAACACGCCCTCAGACTGAACCCCACTGCCCCCCCAGAGCCCCTGGAGCAGCTGGGCTGCTGCGCCAGCCCCCACTGCCCACTATCGCCTGCCCTACCGAGCTGGGACGGGCCTGGTGCCCACGGCTCTGAGACTGCAGCCACAGGGGCAAACAGGCTGTGCCGGGCAAGGGGTGATTTCTGTCCCTCTGCAGGGGCCTTCAGCAGCCTGGGGCCTGGAGAGACCCCTCCCCGCCGCACTCTCCCAGGCTTAGCAGCAGCAGGGGGACGAAGCGGGGTGTCAGACCAGACGCACCCTTTCCCTTCCCACCCCACCTAGCTGTGTCTGAGACGTGCCCTGCGCGCCGGCTCGCCATGGGACTGGCCATGGGGGGCTTTCAGCTTTACCCCCATGCAAAGAGCCCAGCGAGCGGGTCCTGTTGCCCAGGTGTCAGCATGGGTCCTAATGCCAAACCAGCTCACGGCAATGCTCCCTCCCAAGACCCCACCTCGCCCGAGCATACCTTCCAGAGGCCAGAAAACTTAGTGCAGTGTTGGCTCATTATGGCTCTGTCCTGGGGAGGAAACGAGAAGACCAGATCGTTATAATCTGCTCCACGCAAATCTGTGTTGTTGGCAATGGACCGCAGGCTGAGAAACCCTCCCCAGGGGACTGGGCTGGAGGGGCGAGGTCACCCCACTGAGCTGGTGCCTCCCTTTGCCATTGCTAACCCCTCCTCTAGCCCTTCCTTCCTGCAGCCCCCGCCATCTGGGTCTGAGCCAGTGTCACAGCCCCATGGCCAGCTTATGCCTGGATCACACCCCCCATGGGGACACGGAGAGCAGCAGGAGGCCCCAGCCTAAGGTACGGTGCTGCAGCTGGGGCCGGGCACCCTAGGGATACCTCATCACTCCCATGCTCTGCAGACACTGGTGTTTTCATAGGCGAGGGAGGGGCTCACCTGGAAGGCACATGGGTGAGATGGGGGGCTGGGATCCCCCTGCTCGGGTGGGACACAGACACGAAGCACAGATGCCTCATCCCGATCACGTGACCCCAGTGCCTGCATCTCAGATGCAGCCCAGCCCTCAGGGAGTTTCCGCTCAGGCCTGCCCAGTGCTTGGCACCAGAGCCTGTTGTTAGGCCTGACACTAGTTAGGGTTTGCTGCAGCCTACAGAACAGTTGTGTGTGTCGGCTCCCTCCGGATCACTCGCCGTCCTGGCAGCTGCTAGCAGAGCAGGGGAGCGGTGGGACCGTAAGTGCCCGGGGCGGCTGGCTCTTTGCAGGGAGCCACTGGACTCGAGTAGCAGAGCAAGCAGTGCAGCTCCTAGCTGGCGCTGGGGCAGAATCGATCATCCACGGAGCCCAGCCACGCCGGCCAGCTGCTGTTGGTGCATTTTCACCACGTGCCAGGGCAGTCTGAGCTCAGACACTAGCCAGCCTCAGGGCTCTGACCTGCTGCTGCATGCAGCTCAGGACACAGCGGAGAGCACCAACCCCACAATGGCGGTGAGCAAACTGCCGCAGTTGGGAACTCGGAGTCTTCTCTGCCACCTCTTCTGTCACCGCTGGCTCTGCTCCGAGACCCCCTGCGTCAGCATCTGGTGTGTCCTGCAGGGTGCCGGGGCGGAGCCGTGTGAGCAGCAGCGGGCCTAGCGTGCTCCCGAAGGGCAGGGCTTCCATCAGCATCGCTAGATGCTGCAGCCCTGTGCCCAACTTCGACCTGACCCTCAGGGCCAGCAGGTTCCTCTGGCCGGACGCCCTGCTCCAGGACAGAGTCCTTGGGCCCCGTCAGCCAACTGCTGCTCCTGCCCAGTCGGACAGTCCTGCTCAGCCTCCCTGGAGAATCCCCGTCCCTTTGGGTGCCCACGCGCCCTTCCAGCTCCAAGTCAAAGAGCATCTTGCAGTGAACGCTGGCCAATGGAGGCTGCTCCCTGCACTTACCTGGTGAGGAGCGGCTGGACTCCCGGGGAGGTGACCTGGCCAGCAGTGGCTCTGGCTGGGTTTTTATAACCTCCAGATAGAGACAGAGACAGGCAGAGCATTACAGAACCCCCTTGCTCAGCACATGGCAGGGAGGGACCTGGGGCAGAACAAAGCCTCTTCTGCAGAGCAGCTAATGCACGCACAGCCAGCAGTGCCAAGCTCCCTGCTCAGCCAGACCCCCAGAGCAGCGGAGACTGCCTTGGGCTCATCCCCGAGGGAGTCACCCTCCTTCCAGATGGCAAACAGCAGCTCTCCCTTGAGCTGCCTTCCTGGAGAACCACCTCTGGCCCCGCTCACCCCTCGGTGGCTGCTTTGCTGCCCCATCCAATGCGGGAGAGCATCTCTCCGATGGGGCTGCCAGCCAGTGCCAGCAGCCACCCCTGGCTGAGTCCATGGGTGGGTGAGTGGGGGCGGGCAGCTGTGAGCGAGACCCTGAGCTTGTCTCTAGCACCCTGCCCAGCATTTGCTGGGCCTGGGATCTTGCTCTGAAACGTCTTCTGGGTGACAGGACTGGCAGCGTGGGCCCGCACACGCTGGCAGAGAGGTGCCTGGCTCCCTACGCTTGTACTGGTCTCCCTCGGGGTCTGCCTCAGTGGGACTCACTGAGCAGAGCAGGGCTGCAGGCCTAGAGGTCCAGGCTAAGGAGGCGGTGAAGCCATGGGGCTTGCCCTGGAGGAAGAGGCAGACCCCCAGGGGGTCTGCCCCATTGACGGTGGCCTCTCAGAGGCTGTTCCAAATCTGGGGCTGCGGCATCGGCCCTGTGGAGCCGTGACTCTGTCCTCACCCCTGGGTGGTGCGGCACAGCAGGCGGTGGGGAAGGGATCATAACTCCTGAGTCAGGCCAGGGGGGTCTGACCCTCCCCCTACCAGAACCACCACACGGTGTGGTGTGGTGAGCCAGCTCGGCACAGCAGAGGCCCGTGGCTATGTCCTCCTAGCCCCGGGAGAGCAGGTACCGGGAGGCAGCCCCAGCAGCACGCAGCCGAGGGCCAGAGCCCGAGGCTGCTGCTCGTTCTGCGTGTGCACCTGTGACACCCGGCTTTACAGCAGCTGCTCCCACGACGCTCGGGGGGGCACTTGCAGGGAGCACGGTGCCATGGAATGGGCGTGACCTGCCTGACTCCTGGCTGTGCCCCACCACACTATCATGTGCTTTGGTACCCCCGGGAGTGAGGCTAGCTGCCCCTCAGCGGGGAGGTGACGCACATATCCAAGAGGGCTGCATTCACACAGCCTGGCTGTGGTGCAGCCGGGGCCCTGGGAGAGGATGGGAAGGGAAAGCGTGGTTACAGGAACAAGTAAATCAGGTGGATGCACATTGTGGGTCAACTTGGGATGGGAGCAGCCGGTTTGCTCAGCAGGGCCCTGTGTACTGCTCCCCTTTGTGCTCCATCAGGATGGCGGGTGGGTCTGGCTCGCAGGGCCTGGGGCAAGTCCTTCTTCAGGTTTGGATTGTGTGGGGTTCAAACAAGTGCCGATATTTAACGCGAGCCTCAGGTTAAGCTGTGCTTTATGTAGCATTGTAACGGTGGGCCTTTCTTTTCAGTGCACCAGCGCTCCCTCCTGGTGAGGGTAGAGCTGAGCTGAGATAAGCAGCGAGATTTGAAACACAAGGTCACTTGCTAGGCGAACTCGAGAGCCATGAACAGAAGCAGCTAACAGGAGCGTTTCAAAGAGAGGTTGGAGAGGGAGCGGTCTTTCTCTAGGTCCAACTCTACGTGTGGTATCAAGATGGCCAGTGAAGGATCAGTAGAGGTGAGCTGCATCAGATGTGCCATGTTCTCTTTCCTTCCTGAAGCCAGCAGGAACTTCCGGTGTATGAAGTACATGTTGATGGCTGTGCTGGAAGAAAACATCCTTGGAATTGCTAAACCATATACATGACAATTTCGTAACTCAAAATGTGTTTCATCCAACACTGAGGAATTCTATATTAGTCCGTGTCTTGACACATAAAGAGGAACTGATCACAGAACTAAAAGTTAGTGGTTGATTAGGTGCAAATAATCATGACTTTATTCTATTTGCACATCACAAATGTAATTAAGTCCAAACCAGTAATGTATGTATTTGGGGCTTTAAAGGAGCCATGTTCACAAAGCTGAAAACTATTATGGGTCAAATCAGTTGGGAGAGAGAATTTAAACAGACAAATATAACTGATAGTTGGGAACTGTATAAGAACATTTTACTAGATGCCCAAAAAGCCACAATCCCACAGTTAAGAAAGAAGATCACACTGATCAAAAAAGCAGCCTAGTTTAGAGGAGGAGTGAAAGCAGCTCTAGAAAATATAGAAACAACATATAACAAATGGAAAAAGGGAAAGTTGATAGGAAAGAATATAAAGTAGATGTTAGAAAATGTAGAAAATCTTTAAGGGAAGCTAAAGAAGACAAGTAAAAATCAGTGGCCAGCAGGGTTAAGGACAATGAGAAGGTTTTCAGTATATTAGGAACAAAAAGAATCCTAAAATAATATTGGTCCATTACTAGTTGGAAATGGTAGAATTGTCACTAATAATGCAGAAAAGGCTGAAGTGTTCAATACCTATTTTTGCGCCTTATTTGGGAAAAAGTCAGATGATGTAATCATACCATATGATGATTAAATACTTTCCACTCCAACAGGAAGCAAGAAGGATGTTAAGTAGAAGCTATTAACGTTAGACATTTTAAAATCAGCAGGTCCAGATAACTTGCATCCAAGAGTTTTTAAAGAGCTGGCTAAAGAGCTCTCTGGACCATTAATGTTGCTTTTTCATAAGTCTTGGAACACGAAGGAAGTTCCAGAAGACTAGAAGAAAGCTAATGTTGTGACAATATTTAAAAAGGGTAAATTAAATGATGCAGGTAGTCATAGGCTGCCAGCCTGACATAGAGCCTGAGCAAAAGAATGGAACATCTGATAAAGGAGTTGAGTAATAAAGAATTAAAGGAGAGTCGTATAATTAATGCCAGGTGTGAAGAATATGGGAGATTTCTGCATTATTTTAATTAAATAATGTGTGTGACTCCATTTACCTGTTTAATCTTGTGCTGCTTGTTAGTGAAAGGGGTTAACTTCTTTCCAAAGTCACTCACTGGAAGTGGGGAATAGGTGATCAGTAGACTGATGAGTGTGTCACATAGCCATGTCTGGGCTGGAGGAGTGGACTATCAAGACTCCTAGCCATTTGAAAAGCTCTAACTGAGCAGTACAATGGCTGTGCTAAAGAAGGTGACCAAACCAAGAAAACTGGTTCTGCCAAAAGAAAAGGAGGACTAGTGGCACCTTAGAGACTAACCAATTTATTTGAGCACAAGCTTTCGTGAGCTACAGCTCACTTCATCGGATGCATTCAGTGGAAAATACAGTGAGGAGATTTATATACACACAGAACATGAAAAAATGGGTGTTATCATACACACTGTAAAGAGAGTGATCACTTAAGATGAGCTATTACCAGCAGGAGAGCGGGGGGAGAGGGGGGGAGGGGAGGAGAAAACCTTTTGTAGTGATAATCAAGGTGGGCCATTTCCAGCAGTTAACAGGAACTTCCGAGGAGCGGAGGGGGGTGTGTGTTGTGGAAATAAACATGGGGAAATAGTTTTACTTTGTGTAATGACCCATCCATTCCCAGTCTCTATTCAAGCCTAAATTAATTGTATCCAGTTTGCAAATTAATTCCAATTCAGCAGTCTCTCGTTGGAGTCTGTTTTTGAAGTCTTTTTGTTTTAATATTGTGACCTTTAGGTCTGAGATCGAGTGACCAGAGAGACTGAAGTGTTCTCCGACTGGTTTATGAATGTTATAATTCTTGACATCTGATTTGTGTCCATTTATTCTTTTACGTAGAGACTGTCCAGTTTGACCAGTGTACATGGCAGAGGGGCATTGCTGGCAATTGATGGCATATATCACATTGGTAGATGTGCAGGTGAACGAGCTTCTGATAGCGTGGCTGATGTGATTAGGCCCTGTGATGGTGTCCCCTGAATAGATATGTGGACACAGTTGGCAACGGGCTTTGTTGAAAGGATAAGTTCCTGGGTTAGTGGTTCTGTTGTGTGGTGTGTGGTTGCTGGTGAGTATTTACTTCAGGTTGGGGGGATGTCTGTAGGCAACGACTGGCCTGTCTCCCAAGATTTGTGAGAGTGATGGGTCGTCCCTCAGGATAGGTTGTAGATCCTTGATGATGCATTGGAGAGGTTTTAGTTGGGGGCTGAAGGTGACGGCTAGTGGCGTTCTGTTATTATCTTTGTTGGGCCTGTCCTGTAGTAGTGACTTCTGGGTACTCTTCTGGCTCTGTCAATTTGTTTCTTCACTTCAGCAGGTGGGTACTGTAGTTGTTAAGAACGCTTGATAGAGATCTTGTAGGTGTTTGTCTCTGTCGGAGGGGTTGGAGCAAATGCGGTTGTATCGTAGAACTTGGCTGTAGACAATGGATCGTGTAGTGTGGTCAGGGTGAAAGCTGGAGGCATGTAGGTAGGAATAGCGGTCAGTAGGTTTCCAGTATAGGGTGGTGTTTATGTGACCATCGTTTATTAGCACCGTAGTGTCCAGGAAGTGGATCTCTTGTGTGGACTGGTCCAGGCTGAGGTTGATGTTGGGATGGAAATTGTTAAAATCATTTTCTTCCTCCCCACCCCCCGCTCTCCTGCTGGTAATAGCTCATCTTAAGTGATCACTCTCCTTACAGTGTGTATGATAACACCCATTTTTTCATGTTCTGTGTGTATATAAATCTCCTCACTGTATTTTCCACGGTATGCATCCGATGAAGTGAGCTGTAGCTCACGAAAGCTTATGCTCAAATAAATGTGTTAGTCTCTAAGGTGCCACTAGTCCTCCTTTTCTTTTTGCGAATACAGACTAACACGGCTGCTACTCTGAAAGCTGGTTCTGCCAAGTGAGCTAGTAACCAGGCAACAGGTCACCTGGTGTGGGACTTTGATCACCTTTGATTGGGGTCTGGATCTTACAAAAGGAAAGGCTATTTGGGAGAGTGGAAGGATGCTGACTGCAGGGGTCAGAGAGAGACTTTAAGACTGGAAGAGAAGCCATGAGCTACGAGGGGCTCACTAGACGACTCTGACCAAATCCCCCAAACCACTCAGGAATAGTGAGGAAATTGAGACAAGGAAGGGCGTGTAGGTGTGTCATTCTCTGGATCTGTGTATCTCTTCTGCAAAGGGAAAGAAAAGGGTGAATGTGTTGGAAATATTTGTAAAGCCTTTGTCTGTTCGTTTCAGCTACCACATGTCCCTGAGGCGGTGAACGGTGTGACCCAGGGTGCCACAGGGCTGGAGCTCTGGAAAGGGAGATGTGCACGCACCTGGGGTGTCTGAGGGAGATGGTGCTAATCTCAGAGGCTATGCAGGTGGACTGCAGGCTCTCAGTACTCAGAAGGGGGTGCTGGAAGGAGGATCTGCACCTGAGAGCGTGCCTGGAGACCCAGAGGCAGAGGCCAGGCCTGGGCCCTGGAAGCTGAGAGCACACGAATCCACTGTGGTGGTGCCAAGGATCTGACACCATTCATCATGAGTCTGTGGGAAAGAGCTCTTGTCAAACTAACAGGACATCTTTTTTTGATGAGATCATAAACTGAGCAGGGGGCTTGGGTGCTCACGTGGCCTGGGGAGGAGGACACAGGGAGGTGGGAGCAGGGGTCTGGAGGGCTGAGAAGGGCTGGTGGGTCCCCAAAAGAGACAAAATGTTGTCAATAGGTTGCCTTAGCAAAAGGCTTGGGAACCACTGATCGAGCAGATAAAGGTCTCACATGAGTCAGTGTCGGAAGCTGAAGCTAGATAAATTCAACTGCAAATTTTGAACCATGAGGATAATTAACCCTTGCAACAGCTTCTCAGAGGGTTCTCCATCACTGGCCATTTTTAAATCGCGGGATCAGATGTTCTTCTGATAGATCTGCTCTAGTTCAACCACAGCGGATGTGAACCAGGAATTAATTCAGGCAAGTTCTATGGCCTGTGTTATACAGGAGGCCAAACTAGATGATTATGAAGGGGCCGTCTGGCTTTCTGAAATGGCCTTTAATGTGGAAAAGGCCCACAGGCCTGGCCCAAGCACTCGTGACCAGGAATCAGGCCGAGAAGGTGCTTTCAGTACTAGCAGGAGAAAGGAAATTTCCAGCATGACAAAGGGGTCGATCGCTCAGCAGGTGGTGATGGACAGACCCTTGTCACTGACACCCAGGTATGAAGAACAGGGCCCCAGCAGACATTGCCAGGGCTGAAAGGATCGTGTTGTCTGGTTATGAGGGAGGAAGGACAGCCTAGTTGATAGATCTCTGAACTCAGGACCCCTACATTTGATTTCTTTCTCAGCGACAGGCTTCCTGTGTGACCTTGGACAGGCCAGGTAGTCTCCCTGGGCCTCCATTCCCATTGGTATCTTAGGGATAACAGCCCTGCCCTGGTGCACAGGGCGTGGGGAGGGTAATATCGCTCGATGCTGTGAGGGGCTCGAGCACTACAGGGACTGGAGGACATAAGTACCCCGTTCTCCTAGCTGGACCTTGGCCGCAGCCTGCGAGGCCATGGATAGAGAGGAAAGCAAACAAAGGCTGGGCTGTCAGGATTTGTCCAGTTGGAGCGGTCCCGGGGCTGGTGTGGCGGTGGGAGTGGAGCCCCGGCCCACCTGTTCAGTGAGAGAGAGAGGCACAGGCTGAGCCTGCAGAGGGGTGCAATGTGCCCCCCAGGACGGGGTTTCAGGGCCTCTCCCCAACCCATCAGTGCCCCATATCCAATTGTCCCTCCCCATGGGAGGCCCCTGGCTCCCACACAGAGGCCCGTGGCCCAGCATGTGCCAAGTCCAGCCTGGCTATTGCATTGTGAAGGTGGCAGGGAGGGGTTTCTGGGAGGGCTGGTTACTGGAGGGGTGATGGGCAATGGGGGGTGCATCCCCAAGCACACCAAGCAGGGGCTGGGAGAGCCCTAGGAGGTTCCTTAGGGGAGTGGCTGACTCACAGGCTGCCCCAGGCCCCACACCGCCCACTCTCTGACCATCCCCGAATGAGGTTAACCCTCTGAGCGAGGGGGCTGGAGGATTCCTGCAGGGCCATCAGCCCTAGATTGGCCCAGCCAGGGTCCTCCTGCTCCAGGCCCACCTGCGCATCTGCCCTGCAATGGAGCTGTGGCCATTTGGGCCCTGGAGCAGCCCGGGCCTGGGAGGGAGGGCAGCAGGCCCTGGGGACCCATGCCTCTCAGAGGAGCCTAGAGCAGCAGGCCAAGCTTTTAGGGGGCCTGGGAGGAGGCAGAGATGTGGGGTCTGGGTCTGGGCACAGCTCTGCATGTGCCCTGGCTGGGTGTCTGCACTCCCAGCAGCCAGGCTCCATGTGGGGTGGGAAAGCAGCCCTGTCAGGCCTTTCTGTTGTGCCCCGGGCTCACAATGGAAAGTGCTGGGTTCAGCGGCTCTGCATGGGCCTGACAGAGGTTTCCAGCTCATTGACCACATTGCAAGATGTGATGACTGCGAGCATCAGGGCAGACACTGATGAGCTCGCACTTCCATTGTGCGCCGGCCCGGGGCTCTGTCCTTGCCAGGCTATAAAGTGGGGGCTTCACTGGACCCCAAAACACATTCCCGCTCATTCCACCAACAAGCAGCAGCTGCCCAGGTTAGAAGACAAAGTACCCTGGGCAAACAGCTGGCAGGGCAGAGGGCCTGGCCCAGGGCGCAGGGACAGACCCTGGCCAGGGCAGCTGGGACAGACTGTGGCAAAGGGCTGGTAAGAAGACAGGAAGACCCTGGCCAGGGCTGGGCAAACAGCTGGCGGAGCAGGGCGACTATGGAAAGGCTGTAGGGCAGAGGGCCTCCCAGGGAGCGTACAGACTTCAAGGGACACAGCAGAGACCACCCCGGAGCAGGACAACTATGCAAAGGGCTGGCAGGGCAGAGGGCCTGGCCCAGGGCGCAGGGACAGACCCTGGCCAAGGGACGGCAGGGCAGAGAGCCCACCCCGGAGCAGGGACAGACTGTGGCAAAGGGCTGGTAGGGCAGAGGGCCTGGCCCAGGGCGCAGGGACAGACCCTGGCCAAGGGACAGGGGCAGAGAGCCCACCCCGGAGCAGGGACAGACTATAGCAAAGGGCTGGCAGGGCAGAGGGCCTGGCCCAGGGAGCAGGGACAGACCCTGGCCAAGGGACGGCAGGGCCAGTTTCTCAGTGAGACAGAGGGATTGAGAGTGGTATCACATCTTCGCTGAGCAGCCGTGGCACGGGCCCACGCTCACACCCCCATGCCTGCAGACTCCAGGATCTCTAAACGAGACAGGAGTTGCGTGTGGAGACTGATGGGGGAGAAAGGGTGGCAGAGCTGTCTGACTAGTCAGGTGGGAACAGAGGTGGGAGCAGGTGTCTCCAGGTCCTGGACACATCTGGGCAGATGTGCACTTTGCCAGGTGTTCCGAGCACGTGCTGGGGAAGGTCAGTGGAGGCAGACGTGCCCCCTCCCCTTGCTGTGACTACTAGAGCAGGGGCTGTGGGTCGTAGGGCATGGTGCCCTTGGCCGTATCATGGCGTGCCCCACTGGCGAGGTGCCAGGAGCTGTGCCCCATTCTCCCCACAAATCCACCATGGGCCACGCTCCATCTGTGCAGCACACTCACAATTCCCAGACAGGTTGTGGCGGCTATTGGAAATTCAACTGCAATTAGCTCCCTATGTCCTTGGGATCTTTCTGCTCTCTGACTGGCTGCCCCTAACGATTAGGTTCCGGATTCCTGGGTTGTCTTTGTGCTGAGCATTTGCCCTGCCCCAGCACACCCTTCAGACTGCATTCCCACAAGCGCTGGCCCCTGGCAGGAGACCCCCGCTCCGGGCTATGTGCAGACAGTGACCCCAAAGGGGCCTGGGCAGGGCATGGGAATCCGTTATCTCAGCACCCACCCAGCTCCAGTTATTCCCTGCCAGCCAACTGCAAAAGCAGCAAACAGCTAAAGAGGGGCAAGGAGGCAGTGTGGGCCTGGGGTTGCATAGCCGCCAGCGCAAGGCACCCACCCCGCCCCTGAGGGCAGGGGGGCTGAGGCAGTCAAAGGGGATGACAGCAATCCATTGGGTGTGAAGGACCATTGCTGGCTCTCTGGGCTAGCTGCAAGCTGACTGTGCAGTGGACAGAGCAGCCCAAGGGAGGAGAGAGCAACCCTCTGCTGGGGCCTCGGGCTGGGGGTTGTTTTTGTGACATACGCACTAACCTGCAAATGATGTCTCCTTTCAGTGCCCCTCTTTGACCTGAGCTGACCACAGCAATGTCGGAGACCATGAGAACTGCTGCTGCCAGCCAGGCTGCTGATGACAAGGAACAGGGAGCCCTGGCCCCAGCCCCCTCTCCAGACCACACTCCTGCTTCAAACACTAAGGCTGAGCAGCCTTCCAGGAAAGCTTTCAGGGTAAGCCCCCTGGGATGACCAGCCCATGGTCGGTGCGGTGGGGCAGGTACAAGACAGCCTCTGGCCCCAGGCAGTAGGGAAGCATCTCAGTAGCAAGGTGCCATGGATGGCTGGGGAATGTGTCAGGCTAAAGAGCAAGGTCTTCGCTCTGGAGCATCAGGCCTGGGCCCCAGTTGCCCAGGCGTCTGGACCCCACTAGGACAGGACTTCTCCTCTCAGGGGGCAGTGCAGTTCCCCTGAGCAGGCCCTGGCAAGCGGGCTCTCTGCACTGTCCCTTGCCTTGCATTTGCAGCCAAATCCTCCTCAGAGCAGCCCATAAACGATTACGTGGATTCCCACCAGGCCTTCTGTGAAGCACCAAATCCCAGCAAATAGGTGTCCAGAACACCCGCAGAGGAGCGGCCGTGTGGGAATCACAGAAGTTAGAGAAGGGGAGAAGCCATGAGTTCCCTCCTTCTCTGCCCCAGGGGCAGAGGCAGAATCAGCCCATCCAGCCTGTCTTGTAGTGCTTTTGCCATCTCTCCCTAGAGGCTGAATAGTGGCCTGCATAGGGAATGGTTCCAGCTGCTCTGCCCCAAGTCGTGGTCTTGGGGTCTGATGCTTCACACCACTCTCTCCTGCTCCTGCTGCTAGAAAAATACAAGACAGGGGTTTAGGAGCAGGGCAGAAGTTCTCAAGCTGGTGCTGGGGGCTGTGAGCTGCAGCTGCTCTTCCCCAGCTCCAGAAGGGGCTGGCTGGTGTCTAAACCACCTGGCACTCTGGCCCTAGGATCCTTTCCTGGAAGGGCTGATGGCAGTGGTGTGCTCTGAAAGAACCTGAGCTGTGCTGACTCCATGGGAGGAATGGGGAGGAAAGCCGTCCTTGCCGGTCCACTCCCGCCACCTCCAGACAGCAAAGGCCACAGCTTTAGATGCAGCTTCTGATTTTGCAGTTGCAAAATCCATGCTGTGAAAGTGAGGGACCTTACAGAATTGCCCTTTTCCCTAGCCTGGGTATGTCATTGCGTAGCTCAGCCCCAGTCCCCACTCTGTGGCTGTGCCATGCACCCCCCTTCAGGGGCATTAACACAGGGACACGCCGTGTTTCAGGTGCAAAGCTAGAGTCTGGTTTGAGGCCATTTGCAAACTGGCTGCCAGCCTGGCACAAAGAGCAGGGAGCTCTAACTGGGAGCTAACTGGGAGCCCGTCACAGAACTACTGGAGCCCGGTCTCAGGGCATTGGGTCAGAGTGAGCTGGGGTGGGATGGGGCTTCCTAACTGAGACTCACTGGAAGTCCCACCACATCTCTTCAGGTCCCTGAAATATCACAGAGTTAAGCTGAACGGTTGTAAGTAGTCAGGGAAAAAAATAGAAGCGATAGCCCACCCTGCGGCAAGAGAGAGCAATTCAAAACAGGACTGACACGATAGAAAATCCTTAAGCCTCTGACAGCTGCCAAATGTTGCAGACACCATGCTGCTGAGCTTCTCGGGGCCGACCCGAGGGAGCGCAGTTAGGTAGTGGTGGCTTGCACCTGCTCCAGGGGCTCAGTGCAAAAGCTCCATCCAGGTAGAACATGCGGGCCGTGCTGCAGCTGTTCCCGTATGTCCTGGCATTCGGCTGACGCCGGGGGGGAGCTGACGCTGATGGCCACGCAGCAGCTGTGGGAGAGCCAGCCAGAGACCGCTACCTGCCGCTAACTCCCAGTGGGCGGCTATTTCTCTTGCCAGTTCTGAACCCTTTTCCTCTGGCTCCCTGCAGATCGTCATCTTTGAGCAGGAGAATTTCCAGGGCAGGAAGATGGAGTTCACAAACGAGTGCCTGAACCTAGGCGACCGTGGGTTCGACCGGGTGCGCAGCGTCATTGTCAGCACTGGACCGTAAGTGACGCAGCCAGGGCAGGAGACACAAGAGAGGCTCTCAGAGGGGTCAGGCAGGCAGCGTTAATGGCAGGGTTCAAAAGGCAGCCACTGTGCTAGGAGGCACAGCTAAGTGCTCATAGCCCTGCCGCTGACTTCCATTCACGGGTATAAAGAGTCTACGCAGTGTTATCGTCCGCTGCTGGGAACTGAGCACCTGGGATCTTTGGAGTCAGACTGTATCCACTGCATCAAGCCACATTTAACATTGCCACAACCTGCCATTATAATTAACCTCTTAAATACAACACTATGCAGTTCCTGGAGCCAGATCAGGTAGCACAGGCCAAGGCAGGGCAGGACTTGGAGGCCAAGACTGTCAGAAGTGGCTGGTGATTTAGGATGCCTGGCCTGAAACAGCTTCCTAGGCCTGACTTTCAGAGGGTGGATGCTCAGCGCTTCCTGAAAAATCAGTCCCCCTGAAGGTGCCACCCAAAATGGAGGCTATTCAGCTTTTTAGGAAGTCAGATTTGCCCTAGTCTGTAGCAGTGGAACTGGGGGGCGTGTGGGTGTGTGCTGGGGTGTATTTTGCAGCTGCAAATCCTGGCTGTTCGCTCTGTGCTTTCATATAGTGAAAACGAGTGCTCCCCCAAGGAATCTTTTTTTTAAAATTACCTTTGAACCAGGAAATAATGTAGGAGACAGACCCTGGACTTGGGGGCTTTCAGACACGTCTGTGTGTGTCTATAATCCAAACAGCTCTTGTGCAAAGAAATGAAGGTGTGCAGGGTCATCCCTGGGGAATGGAGTTCCTGACGGCTTAGAGTCATCTGGAGTGAGTCTCGGTCAGAAAAGGACAAAAAATGTACCCTGCAGAAAAGGGAAATGGTCCCTTCTACACAGAGAACTGTGCAACTCACCAGAGGTTGAAAGAAGCTATTCCAGAGAAAGGGGCAAGCATGCGGCCCAGACCCCCACGGCGTTACTACCATCCATTGTATTTTAGAGGGACAGTCATAGAATCAGAGAATCAGAGAATATCAGGGTTGGAAGGGACCTCAGGAGGCCATCTAGTCCAACCCCCTGCTCAAAGCAGGACCAATCCCCAACTAAATCATCCCAGCCAGGGCTTTGTCAAGCCTGACCTTAAAAACATCTAAGGAAGGAGATTCCACCACCTCCCTAGTCACGTCCCTCTGCCAAAGGTTAACCAAGACTGCAGACTGCCTCTGCCCAGCGGCATTAGGTGGTGCTTAACTTGGGGGATTCAGGCATTCAGCACCACAGAGCCTTCCCTGGTGGCAGTTTTACAGCAGCACTAGTTGTCACCTGAAATGTGAGGAGTTAGGAGGGGACATTACTATGTCGTCATTTTTGTTATTAATACTGCATTACCCTTTAGTATCCCTGTGAACTCCAAGAGTATTATGAAGCTGGGTCAAGGCAAACCGCTCAGTGCCCACCAGGGAATGGTTTGGATTGATTCCTGCAAGTGACCTTGAGGGACAGCCTGAACAGGAAAGGTTGAGTTCCCTGGAGGCGCGTCTAGTTCGCGGTGACCCAGCACCTTTCTCATTTGGTAGCAGGTTACACTCGCCAGGCAGGGGGAACTGATGACACCAGATGCAATGCAGGGGAGATCCAGGCATGGAACTGCTCCATCGCTGTGTCCTGGAGCTCTGCATGGCATGTGCTGGCCCTCTCGTCCTCTCTCCCAACAGGGAACTGGCCCCCTGGCCACAGGGACCAGATCCTCCTGCAAGCTCAGAGGGTGCCAGAAGCGTGGGATAACATTTCTGGGGTGAGAAGCACTGAGCCAGTAGAGAGTGGTGATGCCAGGCTGTGCAGAGATGGTGAATTTAGCTGCCACATTGGCAGACATTAAAGCTGGCATCTTAAAGAGAGATATGAATGTGGAGTGGCCTTTGTCTATGATTCCTAATGACTAAGAAAAGGGAGTCCAACTGGTCGTCTGAGAAGCTATTAGGTTCCATTTGTGAAACAAAGAGCACTGGCAACAAAAAGAAAGCAAGGGGAACATTGCCATCAGGCGCTGGTACCATGGGAAGATTAGCCATAAAATGAAAGAACGCTGTAAATGTAGGGTAAGCCAAGGCAAAACTACCCAAGTTCTTGGAATAGCTGCTCACCCAGCCTGTAAGAGAGGCAACACCAAGCTAGTGTGGGCATGGAAGGGGAAGGCCTCAGGGCAGCCCCACATGTAATGTTAAAAGCAGCAGTGAAGGAAGGATGAATAGGTGGAAGTCACAGGAATTGCAGTAACCTTTCGGTGAACGCCCGTCGCTAACTCTACAGATGGTTGATCTTGCTATTAAAGGAGCATAGGGACTTCAGCTGACACAGACTGTGATCACCCCAAGCAATGCCATTGGAAGGGTGTTTTGGTTTCAGTGAGGCAGTCTGGGATGTACAATATTGTACAGAGGAAGAGGAGACCCCAATAGGAGACAAGAGTCATTAGGAGTCGGTTTTTGGCTGACACTGGCATGACCTTTGATTCGCGTACTTTGATTGACAGATATAACACACATGATGAATTTATCCCTCCTCTGAAGATGTAAAGTGCTGTGTCAATGCTCAGTGTCGTTATTGTTGTACTGGACAAGCAGGGGAAGAAGCATTAAGATTAAGCTGTAACCTGAACACCATGGACATTTTGGAGGTTACAAAACTCTAGGCTAAAGCAGGATTATGACTAGGCAGGATGCAAACCAGAGGTGGAAAAGCGGGTGCAGAGTGTGTGGTGCTTGTTTTGGAAAGGCAGGAGAGCCCCTGAACACCAGTATTTCATGAGAATAGCAAAGGAATGCATCACTGCCGATGTGCTTGGCATTTGCTTCAGACATGGCCTTAGGAACTACAGACCTGACCTACAGAGACTAGAGCCCGCAGCCATATTGAGCAACACAAAGCAGATTAGTGTACCAGTGAAGCTGGCCCAGTATCTGTTTGGTTGTCATGAATGACTCGAGATTCAGACAGTATAAAAGCAACAGTCTATAATGATGCCTGACGCTGTATTAAGCCTGCTCTTTATCAGCTCCCTGGAGCCACAAAACTCCCAGTGCCCCAGCACGACCCAACCCAGTGATTTCACCTGCACCAGTGCGCACACCATAGCTGCCACAGGTTCTGCGCGGCTGGGGGAGACATGCTGAGCTGGCATGGCCTTGGGGTGGAGATGGCTATATCACCCATGGACTGTGGCCAGCATCTCCCAGGTCTTTTGATGGAGTTCTGAGGAGCAGTTAATGAACGGACCGAAGTGTTGCAGCAGCTGTTATGTCTGGGCAGGAGCTGAGCATCTCAGCAGATCTTCTGCAGGGGGCTTGTGGGGACCAGGAGGAACTGGGGTGGGAGGAGCTGTGTGCCGTGCTAGGGAAGCTGTGGATAGCTCCTCAGGTAAAATGAAGAGAAAGTGAAACGCAATGGTGAAAGCCAAGATCCAGGAGAGTCAGCTGAGGGTACAGCCGGGCCCTGTGTATCACTAACCGATGAAGACAAAGTGCTTTGCAGACTCCAGTTAGATCTAGGAGAGTCAGCTGAGCGGGTACCAAGAGCACTTTCAATTGCAACCTGCGTCCCTGGGAAAGTGAAATGCAATGGTGAAAGCCAAGCAGCCGGCCTGACCACGCACCATCCACCGTGGGGATGGAGCTGTCCAAGTGTGTGGGCCTCAGGAAGCAGACTGCACAGTGACAGCTTAAATGGTCCTTCCCAGCCTGCGAGGGGGGAATCAGCCTGGAAGGAAGAGCCCCAAATAGAACTGGGTGGGAATAAAGCAGAGCTAGGAAGGGTAAGATGGGACGTGCGGGGGAGCTGTAAGAAAGGTGTAAATGGAGCTGTTTGCAATTCAGCCCCCAAATCCATAGATAGGTGCCCGCGTACGAGCACTGTGAGCCTTGAGCCTTGGGATCACGAAATGTAGACGGCCAGTGGCAGCAGCAGCCCTGGGCTGTTTCATGTTATTCAAAATGTGTTATGTCAGTGGAACAGGCCAGGAGCTGCTGTGTCCTGGCATCCAGACACGTGCCTGGTCTGATGGCCACTGGGACAGTAAATCACACAAGGCAGCCAGGATTACACAGCCCCTAGACCAGTGGTTTTCAGCCGTGGTCCACTGCTTGTTCAGGGAAAGCCCCCGGCGCGCCGGGCCGGTTTGTTTACCTGCCGCGTCCGCAGGTTCGGCCTGTGGACGCGGCTCCCACTGGCCACAGTTCACCGCTCCAGGCCAATGAGGGCTGCGGGAAGGGCGGCCAGCACATCCCTTGGCCCGCGCCGCTTCCCGCAGCTCCCATTGGCCTGGAGCGGCGAACCGCGGCCAGTGGGAACCACTGCCTAGACACTTGGCCTCCCGTGCGGGACAGTGCAAGAGGGAGGGTGGGTAGAGACACTTGGGTCATTTATCAGCTCGCAATATGCTGATACTTCCTGCTGACTGACATGGGCTGAGTTCCACCCTCCTGGGCCCACAGAAGCAACGGCTGCTGACATCATGGAAGAGAGGCTGTAAAGTCCGTGCCTGTAACAAAGGCTAGGGAAGTGCCACCATGGGCACCATCCCTGGCAGCGGGCCCTGCGGCAGTCCCTCCCAGTTCTATCGCAGCATACTGCGTGTCTCTGGCACCCTGGACATCCCACTGGGTGCATGGCTAGTTCTTGGTTATTTTGACACCTGTGTGAGCATAATGACAGGTTTCAGAGTAACAGCCGTGTTAGTCTGTATTCGCAAAAAAAAAAGGAGGACTTGTGGCACCTTAGAGACTAACCAATTTATTTGAGCGTGAGCTGTAGCTCACGAAAGCTCATGCTCAAATAAATTGGTTAGTCTCTAAGGTGCCACAAGTCCTCCTTTTCTTTGTGTGAGCATGTCCTTTAGGCACGCAGGCAAGAGAAGAGATGGAGGCAGGGAAGCGGGAAGATTAGGAATTCCCAGGCGAGCTCAGCTGCTGGCTGGCGATCGAGTCTGAACCCAAGCCCCACTGCAGGAGACGAGACAGCACCATAGTTATTTCTAACCTGTCTCTTGCGGTAGCTCTGGGCCTGCCCTCTGCTGCCTTCCTCATGTTCTTCCCCCACCCCTCTCCCCAGCTGGGTGGCCTTTGAGCAGTCCAGCCTGCGCGGAGAGATGTTCATCTTGGAGCAGGGCGAGTATCCTCGCTGGGATACCTGGTCCAGCAGCTACAGGAGCGACTGCTTCAGGTCCATGCGTCCCATCAAGATGGTAAGAGAGACTCTGGAACTGGAGTCCAACTGGGCTGCTTTCAGGAGTGCAAAGAAAACATGCATGGGCTCTGGAGATGCCCTGTGGGGGTGGCTGGGTTCTCATGCTGGTGAGCGGGACCCCCTATCATAGCTGTGCCCCACAGCTGTCGGGGATAACGGCTCTGCCACTAGGAGGAAAGCTTAGCCTGTGCAACCCAGCAGCCCACCTCCTGGAGGTGCACAGCCTTGAAACGCACCTGGGCCAGTGAACGTGCTGCAGGGCCGGGGAGGGGGAGGACTGCTCCTCGGCCCCTGTGGGTGATCAGCTGGCACCTGCGGCCAAACTGGCCTCTGGCACTTTCAGATCATTGTTGTTTGGTGTGGTCACGAAGCTGCTCACTTCATAACCCGTTCAATGCAGGCAGGGGCTAAAGCAAGGAGGTGTGGGGAGCACAGGTCCATCTTCTCTGCTACAAGTGAAGGTAGCTCCCCCTCTCCCCAGCTTGGGTAGCAGCGCTCCCCACAGCTCCCCTCCCCAGGGTGGATAGCCGTTCCCACCCGTCCCCCTCCGCTTTGGAGCAAGGACGCTCCCCTTCCCATGACAAACCCCTGCGTGTTGGGCTTTGGACCATGTAAGTCATTTCTATGGCTGCTGCCTGGCTGCTAGTCCAGCTGCCCCTTGCTGGGCTCTGAGCCCCCGTGGTTATGTCTGGGATCAGAAGGGCTTGAGGCCACTGGTGTTTTGGCAAGTGAGCGTGGATCAGCCTGGTGAGCTGGTTCTACCCTGCTGTATTCCCCAGGTGGCTGATGGCTATAAAATCTCCCTCTTTGAATCTGCTGACTTCAAGGGCAACAAGATGGAAATCCAGGAAGATGACGTGCCCAGCCTCTGGGCTCACGGCTTCTGTGACCGGGTGGGAAGTGTGAAAGTGTCCAGTGGAACGTAAGCAGACACACTCCCCCTCTGCCCCACACAGGCCCCAGGAGCGTGGCATGGGGGATCCACATCCAATCTCCCAGCCTCTGTTTGCTCATCGTATGTTAGAACCAACAGAAGAATCCTTTGACGGGTTTCCCTGCTGCCAGGAAGGGCCAGTGACTCACACTGGGCCCCCGGCAGGCAAGCCTCTCCTGTTAGCTTTGGGGAAATCCCTGTACAGTCTGGAAAGGGATGTGGTGCCAAGAGCAGGCCTATATCCTCCCACAACCACCGGGAAGGCCAGGTGGGCAACTGGTTCCAGAGTCAATAAGCATTCACAATCCTGCAAGGGCAGGACCCTCAGTGCCAGGCCATGCTGAACGCAGGGCTTTCTGACCGCATAGCCCTGTCCGGGCACAGCTGAGCCAGGAGAGCAGAGGAGGCTGCTCAGGGCAGGGTGCACCGGGCACCCCTGCCCTGCATTACTGAGAGCATGACAGCCACGGTTCTCCTGCCTAGGAACAGGAGAGAGGCGTGTGAGGGGATCCTCTAGCAGAGGGCAGTGCCCTCACATGGGCAGTGCAGGACACTAGACTGTCACACAAGTGCGAGCAAAGCCCACTGGTGGGTGAAAATTCATATGTTCGAATGCTTCATGTGAAACATGTACCACATGTGGCCTTTGCTCACACTGGCTCTACAGCCTGGCGCTCCATGCTGCCCACCATGCAAGGGCCAGGGGGCTAAGGCCCTGATATTTTGTGGCAATAGACCTACACCTGATGTCTTCTTATTTAAATACTGGCCCACTGATCCAGCTGAGCCCCAGCACCCGTGTGGCCTGTAATATCCTACATCTCTGAGATGCTTTATTTTGGCTTTCCCTAAAGCTGGGTTGGATACCAGTATCCTGGCTACCGAGGCTACCAGTATCTCTTTGAGAAAGGAGACTTCAGACACTGGAATGAATGGTCTGCCTTCCAGCCCCAGGTCCAGTCTATCCGTCGCATCAGGGACATGCAGTGGGATCAGAAAGGCTGCTTCACCCCCCCTGACGCTCCTTCGAACTGAGCATGCTCCCTGCTAGCTAACAATCCTGGGCCATGTAGCACCTCGACACCCCTGCTACTTTTTGTGAACAGCCCCCATCTCTCCTCTCTCTCGCATCCCCTTTCTCGGCACTTTCCTTGTATATTGCACATTTATTGGCTGTCCTGTACATTGTGATGCAAAATAAATCAATACAAAAAATCAGACAACTACTGCAGCCTCGGAGCCTGTTCTGCACTGGATTGTTGTCGGGGCACTTCCTAGCCCCTCTAACTTTCTCACCCTGTTTAAACTGCTCAATGCTGTGAGCTTCAGTGCTGGACGTTTGGGGAGGGAGGCGGTGGTTCTGCAGACGGTTGGGGTTTGAGGGTGGGGTTTGCTCTGTGCTGTGGGGAAAAGATGTGGACAAATTGGAAAAAGTCCAGAGAAGAGCAACAAAAATTATCAAAGGTCTAGAAAACATGAGCTGTGAGGGAAAATTGAAAAAAACTGGGTTTGTTTAGTCTGGAGAAGAAAAGACCGAGAGGGGACATAGTAACAGTTTTCAAGTACATAAAAGGTTGTTACAAGGAGGAGAGAGAAAAATTGTTCTTAACCGCTGAGGAGAGGACAAGAAGCAATGGGCTTAAAATGCAGCAAGGGTGGTTTAGGTTGGACATTAGGAAACACTAAGGAGGCGGGGGAATCTCCATCGTTGGAGATGTTTAAGAGCAGGTTAGACAAACACGTGTCAGGGATGGTCTAATACTGAGTCCTGCCGTGAGTGCAGGGGACTGGACTAGATCACCTCTCAAGGTCCCTTCCAGTCCTACGATTCTATGATTCTATGAAATGAGCAAAATCCCCCATAAAAACCTGAGTGTTGTAGATGTTATTATAAGTGATAATGACAGTGCTGCCTGGCCTCTAGCGAGTGTTGTTTTTAATAGCAACAGGATTTCCTGTGCTTGCTAAAACAAACATGAAAGAATGGTTGGTCCAAAATCCTCCTCTCGGAATGGCAAGCGCTAAAGAGAGCTGCCTGGTGATATGCACCCTCTGAAAACGCTCACCAAGTCAAGTCAAACTCGCTGTGCTGTGCTGAGCGGCTGATGGCAACAAGCTGTTATCACTCTGCAGCTCTCTGGTCATGGCCAAATGCTGCCTGGAACGTACAATGGGGTGAACTTTTCTGGATCCCCCAACCTGATTGTCACGGAGTCCCTGGGCGATGCTCTGGAACTGCTCCCCAAGAAGCCAGTCAGGACTCTGGGGCAGTCGCCTTTCTGTGAGCAGCCTGTCTTCAGGACACGCAGCTCACACAGCTTCCACCTTCCTGGGTCTGACCTCGGAGCATTCAGCATCCTCTGCCCCTCCGTGCGCTTCCCCCCAGCGAGTCCGCTCAGGCGGGGCTCCTGGGGAAGCCAGAGGGTCCTGCACCCCAACTTCGCAGTCAGACGTGACTCTCAGCCAGCCAGTAAAACAGAAGGTTTATTAGACGACAGGAACATGGTCTAACACAGAGCTTGCAGGTGCAGAGAACAGGACCCCTCAGCTGGGTCCATTTTGGGGGGCAGTGAGCCAGACAACCACGTCTGCACTTCACTCCATGTCCCAGCCAGCCCCAAACTGAAACTCCTCCAGCCCCTCCTCCTCTGGGCTTTGTTCCTTTCCCGGGCCAGGTGGTCACCTGATTCCTTTGTTCTCCAACCCTTCAGCTCTCACCTTGCAGGGGGGGAAGGGCCCAGGCCATCAGTTGCCAGGAAACAGGGTGTCGGCCATTCTCTGTGTCCAGACTCCTGCACACACATGCCCTCTAGGGCTCTGCAATGATCATACACCCTTACTCCACCCCCTAGATACTTAAGAACTGCCTGGGGGAAACTGAGGCACCCCCACACTATTCAGAGGAAACATTAAGAACAGTCCCACTTCGTCACATCTCTCCCCCCTTCGAGATCGAACTGAGCGGGGTCACTTTAGCCGGTGACCTGGGGAAGTTCGAAGCCACCAACGTTCCCATGGATGCCCCAGCATCTCTCCCATTCCTTGGTAGGAGTTACACCAGGCCCTTCCAGTTTCACGCCCTCCCTTAGGTCAGGGGTGGTCGATAGCACTTGCAGGCCGCATGTGGGAAGGTTTATGCAGCCCATGCCCTTTGGCCACCCCAAAACCCCAGGGGGTCAAACTGGGATTGGGTTTTCTCCCAGAGCTCCAGTCTGGAGGGCTGCAATTCGGGCTCTCTTGGTTAAGGGCCCCCATCTTGACCTGGGCCACATACTGTTCACTTACAGAACTAGCATGGAGACATCCCTTTCCCAACAACCTTGTCTCCCCAACAAGCTGGCCAAACACAGCCACTTGGTTATAGGACGGTATACCTTTCTTAATAGCTTTCACTCCATCTGAGACCTTCTCAAAGCTCTCCACACTGGATCTTTCAACAGGAAAGTCAGTGGATCCATTCACAACAGAAAATTTCTGGCTGTTAGGAACTGAAACTTTCTTGATTAAATCACTTTCACACCCTTCAGTGGCAGTAAACTGCTTGCAAAGACTCCATGAGGATTCCTTTCCCGAGGGCTTTTCTATGCAACAATTCACCCCCTCCCAGAAATTCTGCTCTTACCCTCTTTACCTAGGGCTTGCTCTAGGGGAACACTTTCCTGAGCAACTACAGACTCTTTCTGGGTCTCCCTTACATCCAGAATCACCTCTGGCCCATCAGGCGGATTCCTACACAATCCCCTTTCATGCAAACTTACAGACTTCCTAGATAAAAGGTTAGAAGCATTCTCCTTCCCTTTGCCACACACAAGTTCAGGAATCTTTTCCTTCTTGCTACAGGTTTCCACACCCTCAGTAGGTTCCACAATCACATCACCTTCCTGCTCTCCTTGTGCCCTGGCTAGGATCTCACCCTGATTAGACAGAGTTGCTCCACCCTTTCCAACAACACACTAGCAACAGGCAAAATACAAGCACCAGAATTGTCTGGTCTCGGGGATTTTACATAGACCCTAACTGGATGCGACCTAGTTACAGGGCCATTCTCCCGAGCAGACAGAAACTTAGGACCCTTCCCTTCCTGGGCTTTAGCTGAATCCAGAACCAGCTCTGAGACAACTGCATGACCCTCAACCATCACAGGCTGAAAGGCCCCTTCTGTCTGCTCCACAGACCAAGAAGAGCCGGACACACTTTCTCCTTTACCAGACACACAGGTTGGGATCTCATTCCCTTTGTCCCAGCACACAAGGCTGGTCACAGACAACTGCTTGGAGATCAGGGTAGCTCCCTCCATAGGCAAGTCAATACCCCTGACAGACAGAGACCCATTTCCTTCACTGTCCCAATTCTCCACCCAGCTAACAGGTAAGGTCCAGGGACTCTCATCTTCCACTCTCCTCGCCTTCCCACCCTGCTGACTGGACACAGCCATCAGCTCACAAGGCTGCCTAGGCTCATCCAAACTTCCCTTACCAAGCACCTTGCCACTCCCCACAGATCCCCTGCCCTGCCTGTGTCTCCCCCCACTCAGCTGGGGTCTCAGCTCCCACTGTGCTCAGCACTGCCCTTGCTGTCCCAGTGGGGGCAGGCCACTGCTTTCCTCACTGCATCAGAGCCAGCGAGAGTCCCCAGTCTGGTGTGCAAGGGGGCAGGGAGCATCTCTCTGTCCCACCGAGTCCCAGGGGTCTGGTTACAGGCAGGCAGGTAGCCTGAGCCTAGCGGCTCCTCCCTGCTGCCAGCCAGGTCATCTGCATTTTCACTGACCATTTCCCTCTCCACCGATTGGTTCCCTGGATTCAAATTCAAACCCTCGGCAGTTACAGGAGCAGGGCCTGGATCCTGTCCCAAAGAGACACAGTCACCCCACAACAGGGTCTCGCAGCTGGTGTCCTGGGGCACCCCAACGGCCAGCCAGCCCCACCCCTCCTGGGTCTGCACAGGGATCTGGGCCATAGGCAGGGCGAGGGGCTTCGTCCCTGGGACCCTCACCCAGCTCACACAGCCCCTCAGCATCTGAGGCTGCACCACCCGGGGCCTGACACCAGTTCTCTCTGTCCCAGGATCTCGCCACCCCAGGAATGTCTCCCCATTGACCATCCCCTTCCGCTCCCACTGGGGGTCCGAGGGGCCTGGCCCCAGGAAACTCCACACAGACATATAGGTCAGGAGTGGGAGCCTGTCCACCTCCCCACCCATCTGGCTGATGGAGTCTGTGGCCTTGGGACCCAGCAAGGGAGCTAGACACCGGGGCTTTTCCGCAGGGTCCCCCTGGTTCAAATCGCCAGCCTGCTCAAAGGCAGTGAGGTGGGCATCCACACACCCCCCCCCTCCTTAACTAGGGGCAGCAATTTAGTCTCGAGGTTCCCTGCGGAACTGGCCCCCCGGGGTCTATCCCCACTCACCCTGGGGAGGTCCCCTAGGCCTCTCCGCCCCACCACCGCCAGTTCATGCTGCTGCTGCTTCTGCAGCTCTTTCTCGGGCTCTCGCTGTCTCCCACGGTCCTCTTGCTCTCTCAGACTCAGCTCCAATCCCGTCCGTCTCGATCCCCCGATGGGGAACCCGATCGTGAAGACCGTCTGGTCGGGGACAGGAGTCTTGGCGATGCCTGGCTCCCGCTTCAGCTGCTCCCAGATCCTGCTATAGCCCCAGTTGGGGTCAGGAATCTGTTCCTTAGAGCGGTCATCCTCCTCCAGCTGCACGATTAACTCTGCTTTGGTGAACTTTCCAATGCTCAACCCTCTCTTTTTGCACAGGGTTACAATGTCCTTCTTAAGGAGATGGTGACAGGCCATCACTCCGCTCCTCCCAAGTTGTTGTGGACTCACAGGCCCGTGTGTTCTCAGCTCCCCACGGTTTCCAGGGAGAACCCCTAGTGTGCCAGCCCTTCTCGAGGTCACCACCTCTTTGCCAGGGTCGAGCTGCAGACTCCTCCGCCCCTTGGACTGCTCGCTGCAATCCCCAGGGGAACCCTGTTACTGCACAGTCCTTCTCGCTGGTCACACACTCCCAGGGGTTAACCGCCCCCCGAAACCGCTCCTTTCTGAGCCTTCAGCAGGCCTGGTCCTCGGCAATCCCCCTTCGTGTTACTGCTCCCCAGTCACTTACTGCAGGAAGCGCCATCCACGGGGTGCAGTACATCCCACCGCTGCCACCAGTTGTCACGGAGTCCCTGGGCGATGCTCTGGAACTGCTCCCCAAGAAGCCAGTCAGGACTCTGGGGCAGTCGCCTTTCTGTGAGCAGCCTGTCTTCAGGACACGCAGCTCACACAGCTTCCACCTTCCTGGGTCTGACCTCGGAGCATTCAGCATCCTCTGCCCCTCCGTGCGCTTCCCCCCAGCGAGTCCGCTCAGGCGGGGCTCCTGGGGAAGCCAGAGGGTCCTGCACCCCAACTTCGCAGTCAGACGTGACTCTCAGCCAGCCAGTAAAACAGAAGGTTTATTAGACGACAGGAACATGGTCTAACACAGAGCTTGCAGGTGCAGAGAACAGGACCCCTCAGCTGGGTCCATTTTGGGGGGCAGTGAGCCAGACAACCACGTCTGCACTTCACTCCATGTCCCAGCCAGCCCCAAACTGAAACTCCTCCAGCCCCTCCTCCTCTGGGCTTTGTTCCTTTCCCGGGCCAGGTGGTCACCTGATTCCTTTGTTCTCCAACCCTTCAGCTCTCACCTTGCAGGGGGGGAAGGGCCCAGGCCATCAGTTGCCAGGAAACAGGGTGTCGGCCATTCTCTGTGTCCAGACTCCTGCACACACATGCCCTCTAGGGCTCTGCAATGATCATACACCCTTACTCCACCCCCTAGATACTTAAGAACTGCCTGGGGGAAACTGAGGCACCCCCACACTATTCAGAGGAAACATTAAGAACAGTCCCACTTCGTCACACTGATGTGTTAGCGAGTTTCTCCCTCTGTGCATCACCCACAGCTGTTCCCTTCCACTGCAGCAGCAAGAGCGCACTTGGTGTTCGTAGCTGGATCCTCAGCTGGTGTAAATCAGCATAGCTGTATTGACCACAGTGGAGTTATGCCACTTCACACCAGCTGAGCTTCTGGCCCACAACCTGCAGTGCTGCAGTAACTGGCTGGGCTGATTTCGACTGAAAACGATAAATAATTAACGGAACCACTAATCATTAGAGTCAGTCAGAAAGCATTCTGGTCTCCAAGGAGTTTTCCTCCTGTGCACTTTTTATTTCTTCTCCAAATGTTCCCCGCCCCCCCCCCCCGCCTTCTGGTGCCCCATTTCCCCTTTTCTAGGGAGCAGCAGACAGTTCCGGTTCCTCTTTTCTGGTGTTTATTCTCTTCTTCACCTTCCTCCTTAACTCATGTTTAGCTGGGACCCATTCTCCTACCAATTCCCCATCCAGTGCCTGGGTCTCTCACTTGGGTTTCTTCTGCTCAGCCAATCTATTGTTTCTTTGAGGCTAAGCTCTCTCCACTCCACCACCCCCTTGCATTTCTTTGGCTTTTCTTCCAGCTTGGGTCCCTTGTGTTTCTGCTTCTCATTTCTGGGGCTAATTTCTGCCCTAGCTTCTGCCCAGTGGTGGCTGTGCAGGCTGCCAGAGCAGGGTGTAGCCCTTCCTTTCCCTTGCTGCACAGCACCATGGGTTTGTGGCTACTGAGTCTGCTTTTCCAGCATCGCCTCCTCTCCCCTTTTGGTGTGCTTTGTGCAGTGACCTCTTCCTCTTCTCGCCGGAGGGCTTTGGAATCACTGCTTACCACACTTCAGAGCACTGAGTTAGCTCACTAATCCCAGGGGAGGTAGGTGAGTAGCGTCACCCCCATTTTGTAGAGGACTGAAACACCGGCGCCAGTTGTGACTGGTTCGCGGTTACGTCGTGAGTCAGTGGCACAGCTGGGACTGTCACCATTTTCCCTTTTTTTCAGTTCCTAGGGGGCTTTGATCTCATCGGAGCCATACAGCGCTTTCCCCGCCTGTGCCCAAGCCCTCCTCAGCCGCTCACACGCTGCATGCCAGCCGCACAAGTCTGCTTTTCTGAGAGGTAATTGCTGTCGCCCCTAGTGCCAGCAGAGCAGTTAGAAGTTCGACACTTGGAAGCAGGTGGCAAAGAGTGAATTTGTCCCCATGACACAAAAGGGACAAGTCTGCAGATGGGGAAAGGAAACCCTGTTAAATCGCTGCACTTACGGTGTACGAAACCCACTGGAGAGCGACAATCCTCAGGGACGGTACTGATGGTACAATACGCTCTGTGTCTTTGGCAACCACCACTTGGACAAGGGGACTTAGTTATCAGATGTCATTCCTCTTCCCTTCTGACTACGTTCCAAAGGCAAGATTTAAACAGTTGCGGTCTAGGTGGTTTGATACCAACCGAGGGCAATACCTGAGGCAGTTTTTATGTTAAACTGACTTCACTGTCTAGTGTAGACCAGGCCTAAAACTCCATTAAATGACACCTGGCTACAAGCTTCACTGATTACGTCTCAACCCATTCAGCTCCGCAAGGTCCGTCCCCAGGATGAACGTGGCGTAGAATCCAACCTGCGATGGATTGTCCGACATAGGCTATGGCTACACTAGACAGCGTACCGTGGTGCAGCTGTCTCTCTTTAAGTTTTCTCGTGGAGCCGCTTTAAGCCGACGGGAGAGAGCTCTCCCGCTGATTTAATTAATCCACCCCCCATGAGCAGCGGTAGCTAGGTGGTGTGGACATAGCACTGTCCACACCAGCGCCTAGGTCAGCGTAACTTATGTCGCTCAGGGCGGTGGGTTATTAGTGGAGTTCTAGCCAGAGTCTCTTCTTTGGTTGTTCCAACGCCCTGGTCAGGCATCTGGGACACTATGCAACGCGGCGTGAAGGATGCCACGATCCCGCTGTCTGTGGGACGCCTGCGCTTCCAGCGGCTCGAGGAGGCAGCCCTACGCGAGCTCTGGTGCGAGCGGTGCGTTAAAGATAAGGGGCTGGCTGCCCTGAGTACGATCCCGTCCCAGGCCCTAGGCGCCTCCTTGGTGTAGCTACCCCCTCCTGCTGCGCACCCACCACAGCAGCTCCATCGCTCAGCGTCCGAGCTGGATCGGCGCCAGCCACGGGGCTGCGTATTCTCCGGCTGCAATTCACCCCGCCAGCAGGGGGGTGTGCGGCCCGGCCTGGGCCCACCCCCGCGGGGAAGGGGCACGCAGGCAGCAGGGGGCCCGGTGGGCCGCGGTGCGTCTGGCAACTGCTGGTTTGTAAATAGTGCCCTTGCACTGGGCTGGCTGGAGCGGGGCCACCCCTGCCCCGGCCCATTGCCCCTGGCTGGCCCCTTGCTCCGGGGGGAACCAAGCCCGCCTCCCCGCTGCGCCATGCTCCAGCCCCGGAGGGGGGCTCAGAAAAGGTTAATTCGGCCCCGGGCACACCCATTGTTATGGGCCCGCTCTGTATCCATTAGTGAACAGATAAGGGCTCAGCATGTGGCTCCCCGGAGGGGGAGCCTGGCTCCTGGGGAACCAGGAACACGTGCACCCGTCCCTGGCTCCCTCAGGCAGCTCGCCCCGCAGCGCCCCGCAGCCGGCCGCCTCGGGCCAGGGCTTCTCTGCTCCGGGGCGGGCCGGGGCGGGGCGGAGAGACCGGGTGGCCGGGGCGGGGCGGGGCGGGGCGGAGAGACCGGGTGGGCCGGGGCGGGGCGGAGAGACCGGGTGGCCGGGGCGGGCCGGGGCGGGGCGGGGCGGAGAGGAGAGACCGGGTGGCCGGGGCGGGGCGGGGAGACCGGGTGGCCGGGGCGGGGGGCTGCAGGGAGCTCCCCGCTGGCGCTTCTCCCGTCCCCGGTGCAGCCGGGCGGGCAGCGCAGGGCCGACGTGCCGGTGCCGGGACGGGCGCAGGGCGGGGCAGGCTCGTGCCGGGCACACACACACACACAGCACACGCGCGCGGCACACGGGCGTGACCACGCACCCGCGTCGACCGGTCGGTGCGCACACGGCCCCGCGCCGCATGCCCCGCGCGCGCGCCCCCCGGCTCGCGGGGGCTGCACGCCCCGCCCCGCCCCGCCCCGCGCGCGCGCAGACACGGCGGCGGCCCCGGGCGCAGCCCCCGCCCCTGCGGGCCCGGCGGAGGCGGCTGCCCCGGGGATCCCGGCCCCTCGTGCGCGTGACGTCGCCGCGTCTCGCGCTGCTCCGGGACGGCGGCTGGAGGCTCCGGGAGCGGCCGGGCTGGGGGGTGAGTGAGGGACGGGGAGCCCCCCCCCCGCGCCGCGCCCCCTGCCCGGAGCCCCCCCCCGCGCCCCTTCCCCTGCGCGCGTCCCTGCGCCCCCTGCCCTGCGCGGAGCCCCCCCCCGCGCCCCTTCCCCTGCGCGCGTCCCTGCGCCCCCTGCCCTGCGCGGAGCCCCCCCCCGCCCCTTCCCCTGCGCGCGTCCCTGCGCCCTCTGCCCTGCGCGGAGCCCCCCCCTGCGCCCAGCGTCTCCCCCCCTTCCCCTGCGCGCGTCCCTGCGCCCCCTGCCCTGCGCGGAGCCCCCCCGCGCCCCTTCCCCTGCGCGCGTCCCTGCGCCCCCTGCCCCTGCGCGGAGCCTCCCCCCGCGCCCCTTCCCCTGCGCGCGTCCCTGCGCCCCCTGCCCTGCGCGGAGCCCCCCCCGCGCCCCTTCCCCTGCGCGCGTCCCTGCGCCCCCTGCCCTGCGCGGACCCCCCGCCCCCCCTGCGCGCGTCCCTGCGCCCCCTGCCCTGCGCGGAGCCCCCCCCGCCCCTTCCCCTGCGCGCGTCCCTGCGCCCCCTGCCCTGCGCGGAGCCCCCCCCGCGCCCCTTCCCCTCGCGCGTCCCTGCGCCCCCTGCCCTGCGCGGAGTCTCCCCCCGCGCCCTTCCCCTGCGCGCGTCCCTGCGCCCCCTGCCCTGCGCGGAGCCCCCCCCCCGCCCCCCCGCGCGCCCTCGCGCGTCCCTCCCCCCTGCCCTGCGCGAGCCCCCCCCCCCTTCCCTGCGCGCGTCCCTGCGCCCCTGCCCTGCGCGGAGCCCCCCCCGCGCCCCTTCCCCTGCGCGCCCCTCGCCCCCTGCCCTCGCGGCCCCCCCCCCCCCCTTCCCTCCCCCTCCCCCCTCCCTCCGCCCCCCGCGTCCCTCCCCCCCCCTCGCGGAGCCCCCCCCCCTTCCCCTCGCCTCCCTGCGCCCCCCGCCCTGCGCGGAGCCCCCCCCGCCCCTTCCCCTGCGCGCGTCCCTGCGCCCCCCGCCCTGCGCGGAGCCCCCCCCCGCGCCGCGCCCCTTCCCCTGCGCGCGTCCCTGCGCCCCCTGCCCTGCGCGGAGCCCCCCCGCGCCGCGCCCCTTCCCCTGCGCCCCCTGCCCTGCGCGCAGCTCCTGTGCGCCCCCCTCTGCGCTCCCTCTCCGAGGTCCGTTTCAGTCCTGCCCGGGCTGGGGCAGCCCCTCCGCCTCCCCCTTCTCCCCGCCCGGCCGCAGGGGAGGTGCCCGGCGCGGGCTGTCCGCGCTCCGCCGGCTGGCGCTGCCCCCTGCTGCCCTGCCCTGGCAGGGACCCTGCCGGCTGCTGGGCTCGGGGCAGGGCCAGGGCCCTGCTGGCTCAGCCCCGGGGCCGGGTGGGTGCAGGTGTGGGGGTGGGTGAGTGCTCCCCGTGCCTGGCAGTCACTCCTGGGCGGCACTGGTATGGCCCAGCATTAACACGCCCAGTTCATGTGCATGCAGATCCGCAGCGCCCGGAATGAGGGCTGGGAATGCTGCACAGTCCCCCTAAATCTCCTGTGCCACAGAGGCCATCTCCCCCTCCTCCCCAAACCAGCTACGTTCAGGGTTTGTCTGAAGTGCACAGAACCAAGGGCGCTGGCCATGCAGGCTGAAGTGTCTACGTGCCTCCCTATTCCGGGGCTTTCAGACCGCGGGAGAGCATACATCATGCATGCCTTTTAATACTTCGGCACGGGGAGGGAGGATGAAGGGGAGAGCCTGATTGGGAATTCACTTGGTTTTGGCTTTGAGGGTTTAAATCCGTACTGTAACGTTGGTATTTTTTCTGACTGACAAATTGTGGCGTGCAGCAGTGTTCTCTTTGCTGCTTTTATTAACAGCTGATGCCTAGAGTGAGCAGAGGAAGGAGTGGCAAACGAGAGCAATGTAACCTCAAAATGTGACAACGCAGTTCCCATAATTCAGTTTTGGGCTGTTGTCCAGTGTTTCTCCATTGCCTTCCTAGCAGCATATAGACTGTGTCTATAGAAGCAAACGTGGTAGCCATAACCCAGAACTGCTGGTAGCAACAACGGATACAGTAGTATAGACAAGCACAGGTGTTTTATCCGTTGTCTGACCTGACTCTTATGTAATACTCCCTTCAATTTCTTTACAATAAAAAACATGGGCGTATGTGCTTCTCTTTGAAGCCCTAACAGTGTTCCAGTACAAAATGCTGATTTGAACAGGAGGCGAGAGGCCACTTAATCTTTTGGTGTAAATGTATTTAAAAGTGCGGGTTGGTGCTGTGGTCACTTCTTTCTCAAATTAAGTTTGCAGCCCCAGCTTCACACATTCGCTGTGGGTCAGGTTGCAGACTGATGCATGTGCAAATGAGCAGAAAATGACTGACTAACTTTTTTAGAACAGGATGATCTATACTGGTTTACCAGGCCTCAGACCAGAAATCAGCAGTCTGCCATTCTCTCCCCACCTTCTGCTTTCTCAAAAGAGACTGAGATTCCTTACTGACTTAAGGTAAATTGGTATCAGCCAAGTTTAAATTAGCTTCAGTGTGTCCACACAAGGGTTTGCTCTGGTATAATTAAAATATTTTTAAAAAAATTAGCTTAACTGGTGTAACTTGTAATATAGAGCCAGGCCCATACTCTCCAATCCTGCAAACATGCTTAACTTTACTTATCTGAGGTTTCAGAGTAGCAGCTGTGTTAGTCTGTATTTGCAGAAAAAAAAGGAGGACTTGTGGCACCTTAGAGACTAACCAGTGTATTTGAGCATAAGCTTTCATGAGCTACAGCTCACTTCATCGGATGCTCATGAAAGCTTATGCTCAAATAAATTGGTTAGTCTCTGAGGTGCCACAAGTCCTCCTTTTCTTTTTTACTTATCTCAGTAAAGACTGCCCACAGTGCAGTGAAAGCTCTTCCTCACTTCCATAGACACAGGGAACTCCCACGCCTCTTGGGATATGCTTCTAATATGGCAGGAACTGAGACACTGTAAGACCTGTGCCAAAAAGCCTCAGCTTTTCCTTTTCCTCCTAAGTCTGTGTTTTGGCTTGGTTTCCTTCAGTGTTCCTCCTGTATTGAAGCTTCCTGTTTGGAAGAGCAGCAGGTCATCTCTGCCTAGAACAAGACTGGGCAGGGAGACTGGAGTTGTCTGAAACTGACCAGCATCTCAGGAGACAGTAGGTAGATTCAGCCAGTGCTTTACTTGGGCTCTTATTTAAATCTCAGTTTTATACCAGGTGTCTTTGCTTCCCTAATGTCCTTGGCTGGGGTATTGACGATACCCCCTTGTGAGTCTTTGAACCTGATTGCCAGGGCCTGGCTGGAAATCCAGTGATGGTATATTTCTGAAAAAAGAAAAGGAGGACTGGTGGCACCTTAGAGACTAACCAATTTATTTGAGCATAAGCTTTCGTGAGCTACAGCTCACTTCATCGGATGCATATATTTCTGGAACATTTTACAATCTGTGATCTAAGTGGGGCCTATTAGAATCTCTGCAGAGAGGCTGGAAATTCTTACCTTATGACTCTAGTGTGCAGAGTGAGAGAGCCGAAAATGTGGGGTGTTACCCTCCAAATCACCCTTTCACTCTGCTGCCTCGGAGCATTGCCATTTTCCACTGGGAAAAATCTCTTTGGTTTTGTGTTAGAAGCGTGTAAAGCATTCACCTTCTGATTTGCCCTCGTGTGATGGATAGTGGCTTTCTAATTAACACTGCCTTGCAGTTTGCTTCTCCCATTCCCTCCCCCTCCACCCGCACACATGTGTCTGTGTGGACACTTCCCTCCTTTCTTGGTGGCTTTGCCACTTCAGAGGGGAGAGTGCTTGTGTACAAGCAGGCATGTTAATAGCTGCGGACTGGCAGATAGGAGTCTGAAGGGCACCATCGCCAATAACTCAGTCTCTGGTGCCCTTTGCTATACAGTTCAGCTAACTAACAAGCATAGCCAATTAATGAATATAGCCTGCTGCTGCTGCAAATGGGGAGGGGTGATTGGCTGGCTCTCTAGGACTTGGCAGTGAACATACGTACCTGTAGTGGGGTAGGAGGGTTCCTAGAACGTGTGTGATATGGTAGCCCAACCAAAACTGCCTTGAGTAACTCAAGATTTTATGTAGAAAGATACTTAGTTTTGCAATTGATGACCTGCCGGTAACCCTCAAACTTCTGTTCAGTGAAGGTGGGATGGTGGTTTCTGAATCCCCGAAAGGTGAAGGAGTAACTCCCTTTCCCTTGTTGGAGGCAGGTTATTTCACATGCTGCTTTTTTCAGAGTATCAGTGCATCTTCTGACAGTGACTGTTCTAACTCTCTGCTCAAGAGGGACAGGGAGATGAAGTTTGACAACAGAAATTTGACTTGGTGGAAGTGCCTGGCCCATCTTTATCATCCTAAATCTGCAGGTACAGACCACATATCCACACTTGGAAAAATGGTTCTCTGTGTACTGAGCAGAGCAGCCCAAAGATGGCCCGGGTATAAAAGACTGGATCTAGCAGATCTGTGGGACATCAGCTAACTCTCTCTCTCTCCTAGTACAAGTTTAAGAAGCTTCATGCTGAGAAGCTTTCTCTAGGTTTGGGCTGCGCTCAGTGCTATGGCCCATACTGAGTTGCTCCTGCGGAACAAAGCTTCTCAAATATTTGGTCTTTGTTTTTCCTCCTGCAGTGGAGGAATGGTCTGTCGTCTCTGTTTCCCTCTTTCACACACAGACTGTTGACACAGGGCAGCTTGTGTGCTGTGCCTTCGCATGACTCAACAGTGAACATCTGAGAGGTGTTTTAACACTGAACATGCTGCTTCCCCCTCTGTTTGGAGCTCTTTCACCACCCCCAGCCACTTCCTCCCTAAACCTCTCACTAAAACTGTGCCTGCATCTGATGCTCGCTCTCTGTTTGGGCAGCATCTTGCAATGCTGTGTAGTAGGGAGGTAAGATACAAATTAAATATCTTCCCTCCACAACTTCAAGTTCCTGGTGTGTGTGGCGAGAATTACAGCCCTTCTGTGCCACATTCCCAGCTCTTTTCTCTG